ATTACAATTTTAGCACTTTCGATACCAAAATTACAACTTTGTACAAAATTAGGATTTGCTTTACCTTTGTTGGTCCGAGTCAACATTGAATCAATATTTGGTAATATGCAATTTTTTCATGTAGATCATCCATAAATAGTGTACCGATAAATCCCCATTATCTTGAACTGACAGTGGGACAAGGTGAAAAAATTCAGAAATCTGAGGAGACACTGTGATGGACAAATGGAAAAATTGACAAAAGTAAAATTTTTGCAAGACACATGCAAATTTTATTCAATTCTTGGAAGTATTAGGTTTCAGAAAATTACAGGTTTCAGAACCTAAAAAGTCTACTTTTATGGAGAAAAATATAAGTAAAAATAATTTTAGTTTGCCCCAACATGAAAATATTGCTTCACTTCTTCCTCTTTAAGGTACGCATGCACAGAAAAGTTGAAGAAGTTACCATGGTGTTAATTCCATAGATATAAATGTTAGATGACCGAGAATTTTTATATAATCTTCAAAAAAGAGGATCAGAACTTATTCCTCACTAAATTTTGATTGCTCCAATTCAATGTTGTTTACAAGTTTCATGCTAAAAGTAAAAGACACATGATCTTGACATTGATGATAACAACCACGCCATAGATACTTTTCTTTTTCCGGCACTTGCAGTCTTTTCTTGCGTTTTACTTTACCATGTAGTTGAGATCTCAAAACTTCACCTTATTCATGTTTCTCATAAATCTTTAGCTTTATGATACAATTATCTTAAAAGAAACACATGATATTGACTCACTATGTCACTTTAAAGAAAAAAGTTTTGGGCTTCCAACTTATTTCAATATATCTAATTGGTGTTTGAGAAGCAATGTTTGAAATATCCAAGTTGAACTGTAATTAATGTATTTAAGTCATGATCAATAAGTATATCTCACATTTTACTTCTATCATTCACTGACAGTAAGTTCATTTAAAAATGTGCAGGTAAATGATAAATTTTAGTGCTAAGATTCACGATCACTTTTCCTTTTGAGCAAATGTCCTATACTGAATTCAGGTAAATCTGCACAAATGTTGCTTGCCCTTTTCATTCTAAGTATTTTTTAAAGTATTATTATTCAATTTCAAAGATTGTGGTCCATAGTAAGTTTGTTATTGAGTGCTAAATTTTATTCAAATAAATGACTCTTACAAAGGACTAAAAATTTGTGAAAATTTGGCATAAGTTGTACTCTTTTCTTTTACAGACCCATTCATGTTGCCTCGTATGCAGGTAGATAAAGGTGCCATTAGATTTGTTTTGAGTGGAGCCAACATCATGTGTCCAGGATTGACATCTCCAGGTGCCAAGATGACAAAGTTAGATGCAGAGAAGGTAGTTGCTGTGATGGCAGAGGGAAAAGAGCATGCTGTGGCCATAGGAATGACAAAAATGTCCACAGATGAAATGTTAGTATATTTAAACTTTGAGTTTTGTTTGTATTTCATTGTGTCAAACTTCAAATAAGGTGTACACACAAATTAATTAGTAAGAAATCATGACAATTTGTACATCCTTCTGATGAGATGTATGTTACAGTGCAATGCAAAAAATGTTCATATGGTGTTGCTTATGTTTACATTTACATCCTGAGTGCATATTATTATGTACATATACATTAATACAATTTTTAAAATGTAAACATAATGGAAAGAGACTGATTATATATATATAAATATTTTTTTGTCTTTCAGCATTTCTAAAAACAAGGGTATTGGATTAGAGAATATCCATTACCTTAATGATGGACTTTGGAACATGAGGACTGTAAAATGACCCTGGATGATGTTCTTTCAGATTGTTTGACTCTTTGTTATAAATATCTTTAATATTTATTGCAATATTAAAGCATTTTATCATGAATAAACCACCATCCCTTTCCCAGTCAGTATATGTATATTTTTCTTTTTCTAAAATGCTCATATTATTAAATATTTTCAAGATATGAAATATACTTGAAAATTAATTTTATTTGTCATATTTGAAATTGGATTTTTTGGCTTTTTGAGAATTTGAAATAATTTTAGATCATAAAATGTGCATAACCAGATTTATTGTTGTCACTTGTAGCTGAGGCCATTTAAAATAGGTCAAGGTCACTGTCTTTAAATACCTTGTCTTGAGATCTCATTATTGGCATCAAAGTGGCACCAAATTGAGGTGTGTTAAGACCCTGTGTAAATTACATTGTAGGTCATTCAGATAAAGTCACGATTACTGGTTTCAGATGTCCAGAATCCTTGTTCAGGTCAAATTTAGCTGCAGATCTGTAGCTTGCTGGTCTGAAAATATTGGGATGGTCATCCTGAGAGCTACAGTGCCACCCTTTGAGAAAAGTATATTTACTGCGCATTAAAAAAAATGTACTGTTTCTCAATTTCTTTGTATATTTAACTCAAAATATTGCTTACTGTATGTTCCCAATATATTCTTTTACTATTTCTACAACAAAACATTCCCCATAACCATTGTTAATAGCCCTTCTGATCCTGGGCCTGAAATCAAACAGAAATGAACCTTTTTGCTCTTATATCTTACAAAAAATAATTGCAAATGCAAGAACACATGACCTACTTTGCAAAAAGTACCCCTGACAGTTTAATTTATGTCTTCTGAATTTTGAGAGGCAGGGATTGGATAATTTGCATTTATACATGTTCATGAGCTCATGATCACTGTACTTTGAACTGTATGATTTTCAGTTTCTGCAAAAAAACTTATAGTTATTTAATTCTATGAAAATACATCAGGATCGGTATTCCACAATGGATTGCATAGACTGACAGTTGCAATAAATACAGACTGAAATTTCTTTTGTAGGATTATTGGAAACATGTATAATTGATGAAATGATAAATAATTATTTCTAATAATTTTAATTTAGTTATTCATTTGAGGATTGGGAAACTTTATTTTCTTTGATTGACAAATTCTGTCTTAGTCTTATACTATCCATGGATGTTTTTTTTTTCTTTGCAGGCAAATGCATGAGCTATGTTAGTAGTTAATACCTTATAAGCAGAATTTTTAGCGAGGATTCAATTTTGGCATTATTAGCGAGGTGTTGAGATTGCTAAAATTGCATATTGCTAACAATTCATTCAGCACTAAGGAGGTAAGGCTATCTTGCAAGATATTGACAAATCGCTTAAATTACTTCTTACTAAAATTATATACTCGTCTGATATTTACAGCTAAATTGCTAAATTTGCATCTCGCTAAAAATTCAATGTATACGATAAATAGCTGACCACTCTTAGATTTGATTACATCATTAATGAAGCTACAAAGCAAGCAACACAAGCATTTCTTGGAACACTCTATCTCCAATAAAAAGACCACTTTGTAGTAGCGATATTTTAACACTTTTTTGAAAGGGCACATGTCCAGTAGTACCTCAAATTTCACACAAGGGAAATAAAAGATAATAGCTCATGTGTCAACAAATATCTTCTGTAATAGCAACAAGGCTTCAAATGATTGTTCAATAAGATACATGAATAAAAATATGTCATTAGTTTGTTGGTTACTCCCTACCAAAGAAGGCTTCTGAAGCAATATGACATTCATGTATCATAGGAATGGTCAATAAGATGAATCAGCTATGACAGTATTATGCATCATTTTATGATGTGGTCCAGTTATGGTACATAGTTACTTTTTACACAGTCCTTCTGTAGAGAAGCTGCTCCAGAAACTTATTGACCCATCCACTTATCTGGAAAATTAAGGTCAGGTGTATATCAGCAGACATCGCTATGTTTGAACAATCACGGTACCAAAGTGACCAAGGTTAAAGACAAAGTCGGATCACATTAAAAGAACTAAGAATATGGACTTTCTAGGACTTAAATGTTTTTGTTTCATGACTATTCATGTTCACAAAATTTTAACCTTTTTACTCTTTGGGAATTTAATGCGATTTTACAAAACTGGACAACACAGGGTCTATCCATAAATTATACTGAACATATCCTGGGATCATGAAAACTTTCAAATTTACATTTTTCCTTATCAGTTCAGTCTTATTCATCAGCATCAAATATTTTGTTTGCTGAATTGAAACATAGGTAATCAAAGATTACAAAGCTTACATTGACAAATATCATCTAGAAGTAAGGCAAAGTCTCACACCAAATGAATGTTCTGGTAGTGTGCAAACCTAGATGCAACACTGATGCACTTGACAGGATATAGTTATTTGGGAATGGACCTGCTCCAAAAACTTTTACTATCCAATTATCCAGAACATGTCAGTAAGATCCAGCATCTGTAGCATGTCTAGTAGTATGAATCCCTAGATGCATCATCCATGCAAGGCTGGTCTAGGGCTTACATTTACTTGGGAATGGACTTGCTCCAATAACTTTCACCTGGTCACTCATCCAGAAATTGTAGGTCAGATACAGTCTTTGAACCAAGTCTGTATTACACATCCCTAGATGCATCATCAATGCAAGTTTGATTAAAATGGGACTATTAGTTACTTAATAAAGGACTTGCCCCAAAATCTTTAACCTGGTCACTCATCTGAAAAATCCAAGTCAGATCCAGCATCCAAAACAAGCCTGCTAGTCAGCATCTCTAGCTGCAACATCCATGCAAGTTTGGTCAACATAGGTCTTATAGTCAATCATTTGGAAAAGGTAGGTCAAATCCAGCATCAGGAGCATATCTGGTAGTGTGCATCCCTAGATGCATCATCCATGCAAATTTAGTCCAGGTAGGGCTGATAGTTACTTGGGAATGGACTAGCTCCAAAAACTTTAACCTGGTCGCTCATCTGGGAATATAGGTAAGATCCAGCATCCAGAGCAAGTGTGGTAGTGTACAACCCTAGATGCATAGTCCATGCAAAATTTGGTCAAGGTAGGGCTTATAGATACATGTACTTGGGAATGGACTTGCTCCTAAAACTCCCAAGACTCTGACATTATGCCGAGGTGAGAGCTAAAATAGAAATTTAAGCAAATTATGAGCATTTTGCATTTTTAATACTACTATTCTGACTAACAGAATTTATCTTCAGAATGGAAATAAAAGAATATTCATTACAAATAGTTTTATACATTGAAAATTAATGAACTGCACTGGCAGTTAAGAGTAAAAATGTGTATGCATGTACTTGAATTCCTCTGAAAATACAGCATATATGACTTTGTACAATAAACTATGAAAATGAGCAATAAACTATATATCTAAGAATTTAGACATTTGTTTCTCTTTTTTTACATACATACAGTATAATACAACATAATTATTAAAACATACACTTATTCAACCTGTATTAAATGTACAATTCAAATACTCTAGTTCTCATGAAAATCAGTTAAATGGGATGTGAATATTACAGTAATGTTAGGATGAAAACACAAAAATGAAATGATGAACTTGCACTTTCATGATATGATAAAATTCTTATATATACAAATAAAACAAAAAATGTCCAAAATCTAAAAATGTGCCAGGAATGTTTAGAAATATACATCTGTACGAGTTTGAATGCCATATTCACTACTTTCACAGTGCAATACACACTTCTCTTTCACTGAACTCATTGATATTATGATATACACTTTAAAGAGATTCGAGATTCACTTTTATCATAATGTATTAATTATGTTTACATGAATGTGACCATGAAATTACAAATTTCCTTCTGGCAGAGTATTTTTTTAAGTTTGAAATTAGCATTCTAAAAATTTGTCAGAATGACATAGTCCATGATTTTGATGGAGAATACTGGGCAAAATAAATGTATTTTTTCTTCTCATCCAAGTTAAGGTGGGTCTGATAATTGCAAAATTTAAACTTGATTCCTTGGCAAAAAAGAAAATAAAGTCTGACAATTCAAATGCAGTTTAGTGACCTCGTCAATACTACATATAGCTACATACAAGGACCAAAACATCACATGAACAGCATAGCATTTATAAAAATAAATTCAGCAATGGATAAAATTTTAAACAAGTTTCATGTGACAAGATGTGTCATTCAGCAAGTTTGTTATGTATAACACTTGGTCTTGCAAGGTCTCAATATCATATTAAGGTCATTGTTTACTAACATGCTTGTGTAACGCATTAAGGAAATTTTCTTGCAAAAGTAATTTTTTTTTCAAAAACAATAACCATATAATTTTTTTAACTTAGTTACAAAGTCAAAAATTTCTAAAATTACAGACAATATCACTTTAAGGAAACTTTTACTCACGAAAAAATAGTCAAGAGTTACATGCCCTTCTTTTACTAACAAACATTTCTTGCCACAAATCAAATATTTCATTATTGTAACTTTATGTAGAATATTTCCTCAGTTCCAAATAATAGTTTTAGATCCACTTCAAACCGAATTGCAATTAAAAGTTGTCAAAAAAATACACAGTAGTTGGTATACAGGTTTATAGATAAGAAAAGTATCGAACTTCTCCTCTGCAACTTTCCTTTTTTTTATTTTACAGGTTTTAATGAAATACTTCTCATTTTGTTTCAATAGGGGTAATTAAAGGACTATACTTCCAAAGAATAATATCTCATATTCTTTGCACTAGCTAAATCAGAAAAAAAAAAACCCAACCTTTTTACAGAATTCTTAACCTATTATCCTGTGTAATGCAACCATTTTCAAAATAATGAAGTAAAATTTTAAATACCATGTGAAAAAGTTTCACAAAAACTAGATTAATGCAACTAGGATATTGTATAAAATCACTCACATTGTACTCAACATTAAACTACCAACGTTTCTCATTAAATTTATCATCAAACTGCTCCGTGAAAGGATTGTGTGTGTGCTTTGAGTTCATCTAGTCCTAAGAATGTCATATCACACATGTCACATTCTATCGAGTTTTCATCCATTTTCTCTTCCTTAACCTCTACAGAGAATGATTCTTGGCTGTCGTCCCTAGATCCATTGCCTACTGGTCCATTTTCTTCATCTTGTGAAAGAAGTGTTTTCTTTGCCTGCAACGCTTCTTTCTTCTTAGCTAGCGACTTATTTTTTGCTGCAACAAGTTTCTTATTAGCTCTTTCTTCTGCAAATTCTTTTGTGGCAACTCCATGTCTGTCTTGCATGTGAATGAGCTTTGATTCTTCACTTCCGAAGAATCCATCACAAAGTGGACACTTAAAGAAGTGTTCAGCACGCTCAGCATCCTCATGCATGTCTCGTAGAGCTCGATTATTAAAGATTCGTCCACAAATACTGCATTCAAACCGGTCATTGCTACACACAACTGTGGGTTTGGACCTTTCAGATCCCTTTCCATTTATTCCTTTGAAATTGTCTTGTTTGTTACTTACTTTACTTCTTGGTCCCATTTTTCTTCGTTTTGCCCCCGTATTAACTTCCATCATGTCAGCCTCCTGTGTCATCAGCTGATATTCAGATTGTTGTGGTGTGTACATTTCATCATCGAGGTCTCTCTCACCTTGGTCCTTCTCATCGTCTGAACTATAACTTACAGTTCCCAACATTTCCTGATAACTAACCGGATTTTTCTTTCCTGATGAGAGACGTGTAGAATATTTTTGATCTGTTTTATGGGTTGGTGTACCTGTGTATCCCTGAGAAGTTGGAACACCACCTGTTTTTGTATACTCTAGAGTTTGAAGAGTAAGCGGCTTTTTAGGTCCACCACTTTCTTTTCTCACAGTGTTGTTTTCATTGGGCAATATGTCTTGTGAGTTTTGTGGGAAAAGATCTTGGAATGAAACAAAAGGCAATCGATAAAGTAAAGAATTCTCCTGCTCTGAGGATTTTGATTTTTCCTCCAAGTTTTGGGATTGTAATCCAGGTGATGGACTATTTTCTGACTTGTATGCTTCTCTCAAACTCTTACCCTCTAAAATTTTCATTAGAATAGAATTTTTTTCAGATGAGTCTGAATTAGCTCCTGCACTACTGTCATCTTTTTTATTTTCATCACACTCACTGTTTTGCTCCTGTTGGTCCATCCCTCCATACTCTCCATCCCAAACAGGCTCCTCTTTCACTGTTGGGATCACAGATTTTGTTGTGTCCTCACCTTCAGGGACATGTTCTCTACTGGTTACTGCACCATCGTTTAGTCTGATCTGATATTCCATTCCCGCTTTTGAGGCTCCCTCTAAATTGACCATTTCAATACTTGGAGGTATTGAATTTGATTGGTTTGCCAGCATAGACCTTTTGTGAGGCTTTGCCAATAGTTTGAGTAGCACAGAGGCAGATCCCATAGGCTCTTTTCCTACATTACTGTCACTGACCCCATAACGGCCATCCTGTACATCAGATCCATAGCCAGGACTCTCAGACCCATCAGTGTCATATTCTGTATAACTGCTTATTTTCTGAGCTCGTGATTTACGTTTGTGAAGCTGCTTTACAATGGTTGGAAAATTATCTACACTGCTTGATATATTACAATTAAAGTCTGGATCATTATCCTCTGTATTTCTCGACCGTTTTCTGGACTTTGTTTTCTCTGCAGGTGTCCCTACTTTAATCTGTTGCTCAGTCCATGGTGCGACAGACTTTGGGGGAGGTGCTGGTGAGGAATCTCTTGAGACTCGTTGACTGTAGAGGGAGTTGCTGGGTTCGACTTTCTGGTGGATTTTCACTACATGCTGGAAGTTTGACTGTTGTGAAGAGATACAGATTATCCCATCCACTTCTAACTTTTCAGTGTAATGCTGAGAACAGAGTGAAATAATTGCCGACTGCAGCAAATGACTTATTTTCTGTTCCATTTCATCTGTAACAAAAATAATATAGAAAATATCAAAGGTTTTTTTTTTATTATTATTATTATCTACTTGTGCTGAGCTATGTATTGTACTTGCTTGATTAAAAAATTCAGTTGCTCAACAAGTTTGGAATGCATCTGTGAACAAATTTTTCAAAAATGTCACAAAGCCCCTTGCAATGTTGACTACAACCTGGTAGCTTTTTGGCAATAGTCTTTTTTTTTATTATTATTAAAGCTGCAGATTTTTTTTATTTTGTTAAATTCTTCTCATGTAAAGAGTCAATTTCATTCTTCAAAGTTATCCATATACATGTATCATGCACTTACCTGTTACGAAAATCATGGAGCTCCTAAATTATGCTACACCTTGCTGAAAATCAGTCACATCTACAATAAAATGGACATTTTTCAGGCAGTTAAAGAAACATATTTTGCTGGCATCTTCTACTACTAAATGTCTTTTTTGTTGTTGGTTTACGTTAATTAACATAGAGGAGGAACCAAGTAAAATATATACAAAACAGACAAATGTATAATTGTTGATCAAAAATTATAGATCCACCCATTATTGATGCAATCATTTGTTGGGGTCATCAATGAGAATTCTGTGCATAATAAAATCCAAAAACTTTATTTCAAAAGGACATATGTAGGATATTAATTTAACCAATGTACTCATGGTACTGGTGTGTGATCTGAACATGCTGAACATTGTCCTGTTGTCACATGTAGGCCTATTTGTTTTGAAAATGAAAGTTAACAGTTTTCATACATGTGCGAATGACACGATTCATTACTTAAATACAATTCAATGGCCAGAACAAGAAGGATCTCTACCACTTTCGTAAAATGGTTTCCCACCTTTCGACCGCCAGAACAGAAGTCGGTCACGTTCACAAGGTCAGAAAAAGCCTGTGTATATATGTGATTACTCTATCTAACACAGGACGATATAACATAATTATTATAAAAAGATCGGTTAACTTGCAAATTACCTGAGGTTCTTATCAGATTCTTTTGTTCCGACAGACATCAACAGCGATCTGGTATGCGGGTGTTGCGTGTTTGGCCTTGACCTAGCGACCTCACGTCATGACGATTGCTGATTAGAAGGACACAAGGTCAAGAAACGCATATTTTTGTTTGTTTTGAATAAAATTACTAACACCCAAATATTCTTTAAAAGATCATCCCTGGGAAATAAAATTGCAAAAGCTGTAATCATTGTGAAACCTTTTATTCGGGAAAATGTAAACAGGAAGCAAACAATTACATATTTTTACGATGAGATTTTGACAAAACGAAATATCAATAGCGGGAATTTTGATTTGGAGAAATTCTTTGAAATTTAAGTATTGATCAGTTTATGCGAGTCTAACGAGCTTTTGCTTGTTAACCATTAAGTTATCATTTAAGAGGAGTCAAAAAATATTTATACATTTTCAAACCAACTTTTTTTTTACCATATATGGAAAATCGCATGCATTGTGGAATAGATTATCCTTCGATTTCGGAGGATTTCAAACGTCCTGTGCCTGTCTTTGTTTAAATTAAAGTCATATATGGCGTTTTTTTTTTTTTTGGTTGTTTTTTTTTTTAAAGTTCAGACTAACTATTTAATTAAAAAAAGAAGATTTTTTTTATTTGTTTTATTACTTTATATAAAGAAAGGACTTTCCTGTAAATTACACAATTTAAATCAACCAGGTTTCAAAGATATTAGAAATTTAAAACAATAACCGATTTCTTTATCGACTCCGCATTTAATTAACAGACACAGTTTAAAATCAATTTAACTATGGAAAAATGAGGTTATTCAAGTTCAAAATCGATTAATTTTTTTAATTTGAACCTAAATAACATATACCATGTTTTTCTACACTCAAATGTCGTATTTTTATTTTTTAGCTCAGATACGCCATATATAGCTTTCAGAAATATTCCGTTATGTGAATTTATATAAATAAAATCTCACAAAATTATTTGTTTAGGTGAGAATTAGAATTATTACTGAGCAAATTTTTTTTTACACTTAGTTGTAATTTCTTCTTTAATTTAGGGCCTTTTTCTCAGTTGTGCCTCCAATATAGTGTTGCCAGTATTAAATATATTAGAAACAAAACTTATTTAGTTGAGGTTGAGCCCTTCAAAATTTGCTTGATGACTTTTTTTTTTTTTTTTTAAATTCTTAGGCTGTGCCCCAAATTGAAATTGCTTCCTACGGGCCTGTTACGTGGTTGTCAGACAAGTCTGATTGTCCTCGAGCTCGCATGTGACCATATGCCACTGGAGTTAGGGAGCCTCATCGGCGGTAAACCACGGTTGATTCACATGTCTCGGTTCTCTCTGTCAAGGGAGCTTGTGAACTCAAAACCGTGGTTTGCGACGATAAGGGGGCCTGGGTTTGAATCCTGACTGGTCGACCTCAGTGGGGATTCGTCGCATTTTCTTCTTTCCTATCACAATTCTAATTTGAAAAGGTAGGGGTTTAAATATATTGACATTAAAAAATTAAGTCAAAATATGATGGTAGTCCATTATCTGGTACGAGAGACATATTTACTATATATGTTTACAATATCGGCTGCTTTATTCTGTGATACAGGTCCAGGCGGCCTCCGTTTTTTGAGGATAAAATCTCCAAAATCAGAAGAGGCGGTCTCGCCACCTATTGACATTTTCAAAACAAAGAAATATGCAGAAAAAAGGGAGCGCAAAAAGTGCCACTTTGAAAATAAATTACAAAAGATCTAGACAAATAATCCCAAAATCGCAACATACAATCGATAGTTTAATGTTTGAACTTTTATTTGCATATACTCTGATGCATGCACTTTCAACAGTTCCAGTAAAGTAATTCAATCAACAAGATATCTATCAAAGTTCTGTACATTCTACATGTAAAAGGAAGTTTATATATCTATCTATATATATATATATATATATATATATATATATATATATATATATATATATATATATATATATATATATATATATATATATATATATATATATATATATATAAACATTTAAATTTTTGCTGAAAATATTGCAATACATATATATATCGCAATGCAGTTAAAAATATCGCGATATATACGAATCTCTAGCCAATACCCAGCCCTAATTTCTATGTTAAAAAGCAAATTAAAACAATTTTAAAAAAGTTTTCTTTATTTTAGTTAAAAGTACTGCGATTAGATTAACAAATATAAAAATGTTTTCTATTGGTGGTCGCGACCTTCAATCGACACCACACAACTATATTGCCATATTGTACCGCAAATTTTAGGCAGGGGAGTGTTGTAGATGGTTTAAAGCGGTGGACCCCAATAAAATACCGAAAATTCCTAGCTGTTTGGAATATTTTAATCTATTGAATGGATTTTTTTGAAACACAAGACACTGAATGCATAGTCCAAAGCAGGTATTACACGAGAGTAAATAGTGCATTGAATTGTGGATATATTTTTCTCATGAGCACGCCCTCCTACTTCAGCAAGATTCACGGCATTTTTTCAGAAAATACCAGTATATGTAAACGTATTATACCTAGATACTTATAATAATCAACTGTTTCTTAATTATTTATTTCGATTGTGAATTCAGAATCGGTTGCTTTGCATCTATCTAGTTTTATGAAAATGTATACACTTGTATTTGTTGGTGTTTGTAAGAACTCCCCAAGGTCTGCGCCAGCTGTTTAATTTTTCATACTTTGTAAATCTTCTGGAAACTAGGCTATTAAAGCAATGTTATATATCTGCATCTTATAAGATAGACAGCTTACGATTAACTAGTCCTAGTCCTAAATTAAGATTGTTAATATCCTGTACCAGATTATTAATGAAAATAAAGTTGGAATTAAATTATCTCCCTGTTTAATACCAGTTTTGCAACTAAACTAATTTGTTAGTTTACCATTAACTCGTGCATTCGTTTCTGAGCTTTGATAAATATTTTTCACCGAGTTATAATTTTATTTTCTATATTAATGCAGCATTATATAGCATTTTATATCTCTATCGACAAAATCGAAACAATTTTGAAGATTAATATGTGCAACATAGAGATGTTTACTGTTTTTGATCTAAACTACTCAAAGTGAATAAATGGTCTTCACACGCGATCTAATCCTTTCTAAAGCCGTTTTGTTCATCGGTGTTCTCTATTTAACTCATAAATCTTTCGATCATAAGGGAACTGTAGTTTGCTAATATATAACACATGACAATCAACAGACTCACTCCGCGCGGTAATTCAATGAAAGACGTTTGTCTGATGAAGAATAGGACAAATTATCGCTTGAATCCGCCTCGTGCTTGTATCAAAAAAGTGTTGGAAAAGATGCATGACGTATTGTGTGGATGACTACTCGATATTTTAAAACATTTTTTACATATTAGACTATTTTAGTCAATATAAAATATAGGGTGAAAACATACATTCACCGGGTACTAGTAGCTGGCTTTATAATTATAGAATAGAATAGAATCGGATTTATATAATCTGTTCCTTTTTTCGTACGATATGCATGTATATGTGTATGCTTTATTTATTTAAAATAGATGCCAAAAGACTTGCCCATTCAAAAGTAGAGCCAGGATTATAGAAATTATGCAGGCATGGGGGAGGGGGGGGGGGCTCCCCAATAATTTTGCCATATATACTTTTGCTTCACTATTATAGAAAATAAATCTAGGTTGCGTTTTTTTTTTTTTGTTTTTTTTTTAAAGAACAAGATGGGACTAAGACGTAAACCTACTTTTGGCTTACGATTACTTTTATTCTTTATTGTTTACATACTTTTTATTCTTTGTAATTTTAAACTGATTAAGGATCAATGGGTGTGTTCACATTTTAATTCTTTGAAGAATGTTTTTAAATGTACGTATTTTCTATAAAATTCAAGAACTTTGCAATTTCCAAAAAGCTTGTTTCAAGGAAATTTTCTTATAATGATGCAATCTATAAATATATTATAAGGTTTGAAATTGGTATTACTATTAGCTAGGTTGCAATATTCATAATGCATATACATCTCTCTCTCTCTCTCTCTCTCTCTCTCTCTCTCATAAGATCCTATTTTTATATTTCTTTATTCTTCCGGATTTATTTCCCGGTTCGGTTTTTCTTTTAATTTATCTGTAAAATTTCCTGTGTCTGGTACTTGTCTGTCACACAGAAACAGAAACTTGTCAAGTTCTCTCAAGTTGGGGACCGTTATCAAGGTGTATTTACACCACTCTCAGCTTCGAAAACAAAGCGTTCATTATATTTGAATTTTATGGAGAATGATCAATATTGAAACCGAATGGGTGAAGTTTGACCTACTTTTTGTTGATATGTGAATGAAAACGTATATCAGGAAAATATAATTCATTTGGACCGTTTAAAAACATCACCATGGATGATATTTTTTCTCAAGTTAGAGAAGGCAACGCTTTCCAAGTTAGAATATGGTTGGATAACACGGAAAATGATCTCAATCAGGGGTAATGTTCATTTCCGGTCTAAGCAAAAATGCAGATACTTTCAGTTCTACTTTTGTTGTAATAGAATTGTGTCAGTGTTCCACACAAATCTTAAGCAGAATGAATTAAAGGAATTAATAAATTAGGAAAGCCCTCGTTCTATTTCAATAGCTTGGTATCAAAGCTGAAGTTCTGGTACTCCCAAAAAAGGATTTCTTTTTCTCAACTTTGTAGTTGGGGGCACACCACAGGGAATTTATTTATTTTGTTAACTTAGATTGAATTATACAAATTTATTTGTAAAAGAATCGAAGATAATGAAAACAATGTGATATAGGTATTCTCCTTGATATAATAGTTAGTATGGTAAGTAGCAGTTGAAAATGCACATTTTAAATCTGCATCCAGCCACCCTGTTAAGACCTCTAGCTTGTGAATACTTAGAAGTTATTTATGTACTTAGAATGTACATCCAAACACCACAACCACTTGTTTTGTTTGGCAGTTCTACTTGGAGCTGCACTTCATCACCGGATGAAATGTTTCCAGGTATTCAAAGAATGCAAATTGCTGAACTATTTTGTATTTAATGAGTTAATTTACACCAGCTTGATGTACATGATGTACACAGGTTTATTTGACAAATAAATTATAAAATAGATGTTTTGTATTTTCAACATGTACATAACCGCAAAATTACAAAATTATTCATATACCTTTTTAGAACAATTCTTAGTCATTGTTTATAATATTTTTTAAATTTTTATTAAAATACATGTAATAACCAGGTGATAACATAGAACCAAGAACTTCAGTATGATCATCATTTTACCAATTTTAATGACTGAGTACTTTAACTTTTGTGCATCATTGTACATGTAATGATGTAGCACAGGACAGGAATTTAACCAAAAAAAAAAAAAAAAATTAAGATTTATGTACATTAGAAAAATTAGGAAAGTCATTTACTAAAGTATGGTTTCCAATCAAAATTGATGCAGTCTTCTACAATTTACAGAATTTAGAGGGCAAATAACCTGTAGGTTTTGCAGACTTGACAATTTTTTACTTATGAAGCTAATCAGCACAATCTTGTATAATATTTTTAACTTTAAACCAAGGAGATTTTTATATAAAGAGAATGTTAAAGCAAACTAATGTTTTTGATAAGAATGATGAAGTTTTGAGAGCAAAAAAATCACTTTTCAATGCCACTCTAACTAATCAAATATTACTTAGTTAAATAGCATATTATAAGTCAATGTTTAGTGTATGAAATCCTTAGCAATTCCAAAGAAATTCCAAATTGCTTATAGATAATTTACAATGTAGTTGCATTGTACTTTTTAAAAGGTTTTAATTTCATATTTCATAGTATTTTTACCTTAGTTTCTCTTTAAGAAATGAAAATTTTTCTGATGTCAGAATATTAATATTGATTAAATATTGTGATTATCAAATTCACTTCAGTGATGACCACAGATTTAGCTTATTACACTGGGCAAGCCGTGAAGGACGTACTAATATTGTGGATATGCTTATCCAGCGAGGGGCTCGTATCAATGCTACCAACATGGGGGATGACACAGCACTACATTTGGCAGCAAGTCATGGGCACAGAGAGATAGTTGTTATGGTATGTTCTGGGCAAAGAGGAATAAAATGAATTGTACATGAATGTTTATTTTGGGAAAAGTTGTAATAAGATGTTAAGAGAATAGAGATATGATTGGATTGTATACAATTATCTGTTAAGCATACAGAGATTATTGTAATAAATTATTGTTTAGGAAAAAGGAATATAATTTTGGGAGATATGATGTGGAAATAGTTGATCTTTCATGAGGTAATTGTAGTTGAATACCTGGATTCGGGCCCATAAAACTTTCACTTTTGATCTCAGTCTCACTTTTACCAAAGGAATTAATAGTCGAAAAGTGAGACTGAGATCAAAAGTAAGCTCATCTAAGTTTTATGACCCTGGGGCCTGGAGTTTTTCTCTTAAGAAGCACTGTCAATACTGTAAATGCAATATTTTATGTGGTAAACATACATACATGTATTTTTACCATTTGTATAGTGTTTCTTTTTTTTTTCTTTACCTTAATTATTATATGTACCGATATTTTTTCAGCTCATCCATAACAAGGCTAACATCAATGCTATAAATGAACATGGAAATACTCCACTGCATTATGCCTGCTTCTGGGGCCACGATTATGTAGCTGAGGTAGAAATTAACCTTCTCTATTATTTTAGTTCTTTTGCCTAAATTCTAGTAATCTTAACAAAATTATTAATTGTACATAAATTATTCAACCATGTTTTTTTGTACCATGTGCCATTTTCAACCATATGATAAAAGCACCCTTTTTTAATTCATTTCTTTAAAGAATTTTACACAAAAATCTTAAAAACAATTGGGAAAATATACTAGTAGTTAATTTTAGGAAAAAATGACCATTTCTTAGGGGAAACTGCCTCTATTCAGCTTTGATTTAAGGTTGTGAAAAACACTGCTTTAAAATAAAGTTTCTTTCATTTAGTATTTCCTGGTTAATATGCATTCATTGTACCAGAACCTTAGAGTTAAGTGTCCAGGCTTACCACATCTTCTAAAAGAATATATATTTTTAAACGTGGCAGTGTTTTTATTTCTTTAAGGCTGCATGTGAACATATGTTTTTGTGCAAAAAATTCACCAGCACAACGTAAGCTGAATATTTGACTCTATTTAGGAATTAGTTAACAATGGAGCCCTAGTTGGGATGGCTAATAAATTTGATGAAACCCCTTTGGATAAAGCCAAAAAGAGACTGGCAAATATCCTCAAAGGTAACAGTGTTTGGCTGCATAAATACTTATAGTACAAGTTTAACTGATTTCTTTTGACTTTTGTAATTGAAAAAAAAAACAATACTGTGAAAGAAGTACATGTAGATGTTGCTTCAAGTGTATGATATTGATTAAGGTATATTTGTTTATAAAATTTAAGTGCTTGATAATAAATGTGTGTTCAGCAATTGTTTGAAATGTTTATTGATTTCAATAGATAGGGCTGTTCAACTTGGACAAGATTTGCAGAAAATCCCATTCAAAGACAGGAGCTGGTTAGGATACAAAACAAGGAGCAGTAAGTTTATCAACAAATATCTCATAGGCCTTTATTGTTTGTATATATTTTTGATGATCAAATTTGTATAGTTTTAATTTTTAAATAATGATACATTTACTGATGTAAAAAAATGACTTAAAAAATGATTTTCATTTGTTTAAAGGAGATGCTCTTTTATCAAGGCACACAGGAATAGATATTGAACAATTAAGTCTGACTACGCATATGGCCAACACTCACTCAGGAGAGGTAACTGTGTTATTCTGTCTCTGTCTTTCTCAGTACTTATCTGGGCTGTCACTTTCAAAATTATTGTTTACACAAATAAGACTTATTACCAAATAGAATACCTGGTAGAATAGATTTTCTTTTTTGGACATTGTCATAAGATTCAGAAGTGAATGTTTATGACAAAAACAGCTTAATTAGAGTGTGGTTTACAAGTTGTATTTTGTATTTTAAAGTTAGTTTTACATTTCTGTTATACTCAGATTACCTTACCTGTAGAGCACAACATTTTTAGGGAGTCATGCTCACTGATGTTAAAAAAGGCAATGAAAGAAATATCCTGAATTTTGTTACAACAAATTTATTTATTTCTTTTGTACATCTAACAGGTTTGGAGAGGACAGTGGCAGAAAAATGATATTGTGGCCAAAATTTTGTCCCTTAGAGAATGCACCGTAAGAAACTCGAGAGATTTTCAGGAGGAATTTCCTAGACTCAGGTGAGTAGAGTCCAACCTCATTAATTTGAATGCTTGTGTTCCTGAGCAAGTTGTCTGTATTAATGAAACATCCAGATTACTAAAACATACTTGACAGATTACTGAAACAGAAATGATATACATAATATACATAAATATAAATTGTCCCCAATAAATTTTGTCCTGAAGGTGAAGCATCCAGATTAACAAGCAGTAGTTTTATATTGAACAATATCTGATTGCTTATACACATTTTAAAGTCTTTTTTTCTTTTTGAAAAATTTTTTTAAAAATCAATCTACTTAATAGGTAATCTTACAGTTTGATTGAAACTGTACCCTTTCTCCTTCTCAGTTATTCTGATGAAAAGATGGAAAGGGGGAGGGGGTAAATAGACTGAGATTGTAACATATTTTCATTTGATATTGAATGTATAATTTTATCTTTTACATATTTCAGAATTTTCAACCATCCAAACATATTACCAGTATTGGCATGCTGTAACCAGCCCCCGAACCTTGTGGTCATAAGTCAATTTATGCCTTATGGATCTCTCTTTAATGTGTTACATGGAGAAACTGGTACATCATATTTTTAATATGCTATTCTCATGAAGAGATTTACAAATTACAATAAATAAAAGTTTTAAAGAAGGAAAATAAATTTCATTTATTAAAATTTGGAACCATTAAAATTTGGCACACAAAGAGATATTTGTTGATGCTCTGTGAAACTGCATGGGAAGATGCATTTTTATTGAAAATAAACTGTATAATCTTTAGGTATGCATTGTGCATTTTTTCTAGGTATAGTAGTGGATCAGAACCAGGCTTTGAGATTTGCCATTGACATTGCCCGTGGGATGGAGTTTCTACACACCATAGAACCAGCCATCCCAAACCTGATACTCACCAGCAAACATGTCATGGTAGGTGACTTATGTTCCAAAGACCATTTTATTTAGTTCTGAAACAATGGTTGGGGTAATTTTTTCTTTTTTTGCAATTAGTGAGGTTAGTAACAATCTTAAATATGTAAATGCTCATATTGTGACACACTGTCTATTGTTGGATGGTGTGTATAATGATTATAGATGCACAGACTTATTTCCTTATTTTACACTAGTACTTAATATTGCGAAATGCCTCGTAGAAGTCAAATAGCAAGAACAAGAATTCATGAGTGGATTGTTGATTTAGACTTTTTACATGTGTTTTATCAATGTAGAAATAAAAACAAGTATTTTTATTTTGGGAGTAGTGTTTTTTGTGAAATTTATGTGATAATAAATTACTCGCGTATATTTAGGAATCTACAGTATTAAGAGATTTTGTCGATATATTTTATGTCATCAAGTTTGTGTTCTAGGTTGTGTATATTGTTAACCTAGCATAGGTAATACTAGTGTTTGGAGACATAGAGTATTGAGATTTAATATTCCCACCAATTCATCACAGCAGTTTGGTTTTCTAGATTGATGAGGACTTGGCTAAGATAAATATCGATGACCCTAAGTATTATACACCAGATGCCACCATTAATGGAGGGGTAATGGAATGTGCCCATTGTGTGTAGTTCCTACTAACTTATCATTCAACCAATCATCATTATTCTTATTTAATGCTCATGTAGGTTTAGCAAAATATGATCCAATCATCATCAGTTTGAAAAACATGTCAACCAATCATCATTTATATACTTTAGCTATTTAGAGGATTGCTATACATTTATTAGGCATAGGGAATATAATCCAAGTCCTTGTGTGATCATTTGCTATGTTTAATTAAGAAATAAGAATCGTTTACAGTACTGATATGGATTTTCAGATGTACACTATATATAATTGAACAATTGAAAGTTTTTAATGGCTTTGACTATGGAACAGTGGTTTGGTATGAGAAATTGGGGATGGATATGCAGCGACATGCATTTTCATTGCGCAGAAAACATGCGATTTATATGGCATAGCTTTAATTGATACTTTAAAACTTGATATTAACAGAAGTCCAATATTTTTTTTTTTTTACCACTTTTATCACAAAATGTGCCTTGTGTCTAGTTGTTTTGGCTCTCCTAGGCCGGAAATTGAGAGTTTACTGGTTAGTTGTAAGTTCTTCAACCAGATAACTACAGCACTTAACTATGATGTAGTGTGAATTACTGTAACCAATACTATGCACAAAAATCAATTTAGATATAATAAATGAAAAGGGAGTTTGTTTTTAATCTTACACTTCAACAAATTCTCTCAACAAATGGTTTACAATGACACTGTACTTGTTCAGTTTATTTTTTTCCACCTCTCCACTCAGTTGTGCTGTGTTTCCCATTAACAAGACTGTAGCTTCCTTCCAATGAAGGAATTTTCTGTTCTACAATAAATTTTCCAGATGGTATTATTGAAAGACACTTTTAATAACCATTTTGCAGTAATACATGTATTCAGAAATAAATTCTGCCTTCTTTTTGGTAATTTTTTGCACCGTTTACATTTACAGATTGACAGTAATTTTGCCCAGGTTTATTGTACTTTCCTCTATGATTAATTATAGAAGTGTTTCACGAACTGAACTTACAATATGAAATATACTCTTTTCCTAAACTTTAGAATATAGATAATGTATACCTGTAGCATATAATGAAACATAGCCTTATAATCTACATGTATATATACTGTTAGTGTAAATTTCAGTGTATGTATATGTTGAGTAAGTTTTAATTATTGTATCATGTACTTTATGCAGTTAAAAAATACAGTGAAAAATATTTAAAGCAAATGCGCTTATTCTGAATTCTTCTTTTATTATGAAGCCATACATTGTAATCAGTCAGTACAGTTTAATGAAATTTTAACTGTACACATGTATAACAAAGTTGCATTACAAAGCAGACTTGGTTGTCATTGGCGGTGGAATTTGGTGGCGCGCTATAATGATGTATATATATTTTTTTAAACAGAACATTAATTATTGTTGTAAGAAAGAAAATAATGTAAACTATTCTGATTTATATTTAAAGGAAAAATAAACTCCATTTAAAATATGGCATGTGCAATACATACTTTTTCATTTATCACATACTTGCAAGTAGCTCTTTAATTTCAAGCAGTAATGAATTATTCTGCTCATTGGAATGTGAAATCAGAACTAGTGGAGGTTGATATAATATAAAGATTCTCATGTTGATTATCAAAATAATAATTAATGACATGTGACATACTTCCCATACAGTTCATAAACTCAATTAATTTTATGAGTTACAATGTATGTCCAAAAAAAGTATGTGATAAAGACCATATGAGTGTTTTATATTTCACTTCAGTCTTTCTGATCTACATAAGTCTTTCATTGATGAGGGACTTTGGGGGAGGGGGTTGGGAGAGGGGTTATCATGAGGAATGTATAAAAACACTTGTGTTATACTGGTAGATGTCTATGGCCTCTGCAGCTGGTTGATTCATGTTTTTGGTTTTACTCTTCTGAAAAGCATGTCTTGATTTTTTTGTTTATTTTGTATTAAGCTGATGGCATTACTGCAATAAAGTTAGTAGTATACAAATGTATATTATGTGCATGTTGGACTTGATATAAACAACTGAACTGTAAAATTTATATGGAAAAAAAAATCAGATTTTAATGATCAAATGGTGTCATTAAGTTTTTAGGATCATTTTTTGTTTAATTTTTTTTTTTTTTTTGCCTTCTTGTTGACTTTTAAAATATGGATTATGATTTGTGACAGTCTGGTCAGATTTAAATTGTCTAATTTCTGTGCATGTTGATTATAAACACCACAGATAGACGAGGATCTAACAGCCAGGATCAACATGGGGGACTATAGATTCTCCTTCCACGAGCGAGGCAAACTCTACTCCCCTGCCTGGATGTCCCCAGAAGGTAAGAGGATTAAAAGTTGTGGTGGATTTCAGACTCATAAAAGACTTTGCAGTCCTTAAGCTACAATTTTAGATTTTCTTAAATGTTATTAAATTAAACCCTTTTGTTAAAAAAAATCGACATTAAGGAAACAAAATCTGCTTTATCATACAAGTGGATGTAGTTTATTTATTTTATTTTATTTATTTTTTTTTTTTGCCATGGAATTGTAGAAATTAAAACTTAAAATAGTTCTTCTTTGCTTTCAAAATTAATTGAGTGAAGATCTCAAGCCTTGTGAAAATATTTTCAAAATATGAACTGGTACATGTACATAAAGATACATTAAATCTGTCTTTTTTTTATGTTAGCTTTACAGAGGCGACCAGAGGACATCAATGTAAAGGCTGCAGACATGTGGAGTTTTGCTGTGCTACTGTGGGAACTTGAGACTAGAGTGGTACCACATGCTGAACTGTCACCCATGGAAGCTGGAATGAGAGTATGATTTTCTACAATGTTCTCTTGAAAAAATTTTATCTCACCTGAACCAAAGGTTCAAGTGAGCCTTTCTGATCAAAGAGTGTCTGACTTCAGTCTGTCTTCCTGTCTGTTGTCTGTGTGTCTATAAACTTTCTATATTTTCAATTTATATAGAACCACTGGGCCAGTTTCAACCAAATTTGTGACTTTCTTAGGTGAAGGGGATTCAAGTTTGTTCAGATGAAGAGAAATTCCTTCGTTTAACAAGAGAAAATTATGAAATTGTGAAAATATGGTCTGGTATTTTAAATAAAAATTTCAAGAACCACTAAGCTAGAAAAGATGAACTCATTTGAATGCTTCCTCATATGGTGTTACCGTGTAGATTCAAGTTTCTTTAAATCATAGTCCCTGGAGCCAGCATGGAGCTGCAGTAGGGGAAATCAAAGTTTTATTTGAGAAAACAGGGACAAAGTAGTATAAAATTGTGTTTATAGTGAGCAGTTAACCCTCTGACAAAATTGTGAAATTCATGGCCCCTTATGTTAAGGATTTATGCCCAAGGGTTGGACTTTCTTGGGTCATTATTTTGAAAATACATTAACCTTTGAAAATCTATTTTTAATCTTGAACATGTTACTGACCACTTAGAACCAGGGTTCAGGCCCAAGGGTGGGGCTTACTGTATATACTCACCAAAGTAAAGTCTGAATTTTGGGAGTTAGTTAGTTTTTATTTGGTAAGCATTAAAAAATTGCCAGTCACATTTTTTTTGGGGTGGGGGTGGGGGTCTCACACGGTGCCCGTGAAATTGTTAAACAGTTAGATAATGCTTATTCAATTATTGATTGCTCCAGCTATCAAAATGTTTTTAAACAGTTTATAGTGTAAGTGAATTGTTTTAATGATTATCAAAGTGTCAGAACATGACACAGTTAGGGTTTGTTCCTTTCCAATTAAAAATTTTGTTTTATTGCATTGTGGAATGGGGCAAAAATGGCACACTTTCACAGTTTTATATTACCAATGACTTATTCGTTGTACATAATTTAGCAGATTGGTTTACTCTAAGTGTAAAAAGCAAGCAGAACTATCTGTGTATTATTGTGTTAATAAAAACTAATATAGATTAAACAATTGTACATATGATTTTTTTTTTCATAGATTGCTATGGAGGGATTGAGGTTGACACTACCACCTGGAATGTCCTCTCACATGTCCCGACTTGTTAAGATCTGCAGCAATGAAGAGCCAGGAAAACGACCCAAGTTTGATATGATTATTCCCATTCTGGAAAAATTAAAGCAGAAGTAGAGGAGACAATTCAAACAAGGCACAGTTGAATGGTGTTAAAGAACATTGAGCCATATATAACATGTTATCAATCTATCCTTCTTCTAACTTCACAGAGTGCCAAGTTAAATTGTACATGTACATTTAAATATGGTATACTACGTATGTGTATACATAAATAACACATTAACTTACATTTAGAGAGTGATGATAAGTTAAAATTGACAAACTGTATTTTTGTTTTTTTTTGTTTTTGCAAATCTCAGATTTGATGTACCGGTTCATATATGCTATACAAGGAAAAGTGCCTTCAGCTTTTTTTCCATGGAAGCTTTTAACCACCTTCCAAAATTAATTTATAAATATGATAACTGACTGCATGATTATTAATTTATTGAGTTATTATGGGTTAAACAATATTGATAACTTTCTGCAGTAAGTGCACTTTACAGTTTTTCAAACTGATTATGAACTATTTGTATAAAGCATCAAGAACTTTGTGATTTAACTTGAAGTTTCCTTCTTCTTTTTTTTTAATGCAGTGCTCTAAATGAAATATAGGACTGTGTATGACATTGAATCTGGTTTACTTTAGCCACATGCTGTGGTATTCATGTTTATTTCAGTTTGTACTAGACTTTACTTAATAAGGAGCATACAATGTAAATTTTTAGATGTTAGATTCTTGTATTGGTGCTACATATACATGTACGTGTGTCTACAGTTTTTGTACATAAGCTACCTTTATTACTGCCAATTATTTATATCTGGTTTTATATGTATGTCATAGCTTTATATTTTATGGTGTCATAATGCATGACTTTTTTGTATGATGCTGAGCAATGCTTGTGTTTTGAATCTTGTATATGTAAGCAATTTATTAGACTAGTGTTTCTGAGTTGAAGATTTTACGGCATATTAAAGATTGTTTTTTTTTTAAATCAAAGTAGAAAACAAAAACAAAAGATAAAGTGCAGATAACTTGAGTGTGAAGTTCATGACAAAAAGTTAATTAGTTGATGTTAAATAATACTCAGACTTATATTGGAGGTGTCTTCAAACAATGAGAAGTGTTTTAAAGGCACAAGTCTATATAGAAGTTATATTTTTATCTTGGAAACTTTGTGGAACCTTTCATCAACGGACATCTGATTGAGAAATTACAAAAACTGCATTTTATGCATGAACTGATGTGAATAAAATTTCAAACAAAACATATAAATGTTTAGAAAGATTGTCTTCTCAGCAGCTTTTATAAATGTTACAAATGTTAGTGTAAATATTTGTGTGCAAAAATACATTTCTATTATAAAGATAGCTGCATGAACCTTAAGATTTTGTGATTTATTAAATGATTAGATTACATTACCTAAGAAAATCAATAAATTTATTGATAAAAATGTGGTTCATAGTCCTCCAGAAGTTTTATTTAATATGTATGACCATTAAAAGTAAACAAAACACTAATTATTCTCTTTCTTGTAATTTCCAAGGACGGTATTTGTTTGAAATGGGGACAATATATAATTAAGTCAAGTATTTTAAAAACAGTGGTGTACTATGTTGTCTGCAAGCTTATATCAAGAATATTGTGTCATCAAGATTCCACCTTGGTACGACTTGTCTAGCACCGGTTAGGCCATTGAAAACATGGAGAATCCAGAGAACCCACGAGTTTTCTTTGATGTTCAAATAGGAGGCGAAAATGGCAAGACATTCTTCCATTTATTGTTTCTTTCATATCAGGTGTAAATGAAAAAAGAGGAATTTAAATAAAGACCTGACTTTGTAATGGAAAACCCATTCTTTTAGAAAGACCGCGGTATTGTGCGGTGTCTCGAATTTTCTCTAAATTTTTAATGCAATTAGCAATGCAACATGGTTGTAAATGTTAAACTATTTTTTTAATCGAATTTAATGAATTTCTAATTTGTGACCCCCAGTCTAACGTCGAATACGATATATAATGTAATCAATGATACATTATTTAAAATCTTCAATCAGGGACCTATATACTAAGTATATAGGTCCCTGCTTCAATGAACTGTATTATTTTGTAGTGGGCAGAATTGTCTTTGAATTATTCAAAGATAAACTTCCTAAAACCTGTGAGAACTTCCGAGCACTGTGTACAGGAGAAAAGGGCACTGGAGAAACAACAGGATGTCCACTCCATTTTAAGAATTGTCCTTTTCATAGAAGTATGTAGGGCAATATTATTGCAAAGCATCAGTACCATGCATTTATTTCAGCCTTTGAACCAATACAGCAATAAATATTACATTACTTGAAACAGTGATATAAACTTTAGGGAGAGGAGAGAAGTGTTATTGTCAGTATAGGCACACATGTGTAATGTCGGACTGACATGAATGTGTACTGAAGTCCATTGCACATAAAAACATTTCTGTGGTCATGAAAAAATATCACAAAATATGTGAAAAAGTATTGCATTTCCTTGCATAATTCTTACAAAGAGAATAATACTTCCTCATTAGTAATTAATTTATTGTGGACATCCTTTATTTATTAGGATTGTCTGGAGGGTAAGTAGACAAGTACAATCCTAAGTTCCAGTTTTGCTTAAAAACTAACAAATCAAAGTAGACAAGTATTTATTCTTAATAAAGTAGGTTTGTCTTTGGAAGAAAAATGGAATGCATATAGAAAAATAATCTAGGGAGTTGTAAATCAGCTTGGCATATTTTGCCAGGTCTCCCATGGGTACTAAAGATCAACATGTTTTTGTAGTTGGTTAGTCGTAAGCAAATCAGAATATTGTATACAGGGAAATTTTTGCCATCATTTTCTTGTCCAACAGAAGAATTCAAAGAAGACAGCATCATCTCTTCAACACAACTGTGTCTGGGTAGATTAAAATTGGGAAAAATTGTTTGCAAGTGTGAAAGGGTGAAAATAATATGGGACAAAAATAACTCTCTATACATTTGCATTGTAAACTTATGAAAACTTTTTTTTTAAATGCCATTGCCACAAGTAAACTGCAACTTAAGTGTAAGAAAATGATCTTTATATTTCAGTAATAAAGGATTTTATGGTCCAAGGAGGGGACTTTTCCAATAAAAATGGAACTGGGGGAGAAAGTATTTATGGAGCTAAATTTGAAGATGAGGGATTCCCGTACAAAGTAAGAGGCTTATTGTGAATGCAATAACATTAGGCCAAACAAAAAAATATGTGTGGTTCCGGTTACACTTCCAAAAAAATTAGGGTAGGTAGGTAGGGAATTTTTTTTTTTTTTTTTTTTTTTTTTTTTAAACAAAATGATTTTCTTAATTTTTTCTAAATAATACCTATCACTGCTTTGCAAATGGCATTTAGATGAGGTGTAATGATATACTAGTCAATATTGGTAGGGGACACCTACATGCTAGCTTGCTTTGGATTTAACACTATTAAACACTTGCACATTGTTTTGCAAGGAGGCCATCATTGCTGAAACTAAAACTTAAACTGGAGCCATTAATGGAAATCGGGGAAAATTCTGGAAAAAATATGAAAATTGCCTAAAAAAAAGTTTAGGGTTGGGGGTATAAAATAGGGAAGGTCGGGTAACTGGAACCACACATATTTTTTTATTTGGCCTTAGTGATAGATTTATAAAGTGTGATGATTTTTGGATTTTTATGTCCCTGCTGTGAATATTGCAGGGGCATATAGTGTTTACCATCTATCTTCCATCCCTCCTTACATGTACTACTGTACTCTGTCTGTCAGTCACACTTTGCATTTACTCCTTTTAAAAGAAACTGTTAAAGATGCCTTAACCAGAATTTGTACACTTATACATATTAGAGAGAGAGCTATTCAACTGTGTCATAATTTTCTGACCTTCACCTACCCGTTTCCTTGACCTCACTGCCAGGGTATTCCCTATTTTGTGTTTAGGTAAAGTAACTATTCTAGATTTTTTTTTAATCAAAACTCATATTCATGAGTTTTTTCCAACAAAGTCAATATTTTTTTACCTTGGCCTTTCCTGTAACCTTGACATCACTACATGTATTTGCTATTTCGCATTTAGCTCAGTTTTGAAGATATTTTAAAACTTAAACACTAGCTGATACATACAGGTGGGAACTATTCAAACTTTATAATTTTCTAACCTTCCCTATGACATAGACCCTTCTATTCCTCATTTTGCATTTATATCAATTTCAAAGAGACTGTTCAAGTTTTAAAATTTTCATCAAACTTCATACAAAGATACCAATTATTAAGAGATATTTTAAATATTTCATAATTTTCTGACCATGACATTATGTAAAATCATGACCCCCCTATCCTCACTTTAAATTTATGATCTCTTAATTTCAAAGAGACTGAGATATTTTCATCAAACTTTATACAAAGATACAAATTATAATAAGAATATATTTCTAATATTTTTGAACAACTGCATAGTTTTTGAATAAACAATAGTCAATTGCATTTAGCAGCATAGATCTAAAAGAATAGTCAATAACTTCATAGAAGATAAAATATAACTTTTCAATGTATTGTTTATATTAAAAAGAAGAATAACATATGGGCACCAATGCTATACCAGGGATATTATACAAGAGAGGATGTTGAAATATTTGTGGCGCTCATGAAATATATTTGGGGCACTCTCAAATTGAATTTAGGGCACTGGTACAAGTACTTGGGCACCCGTGAGAGACTATGGGGCATTCTTGTGGGGGCATTCTGGTTTGGGGGCAAAAGGAAAGTAACCCATTATTTTCTTACTTTGATATTTTCATCGTCAGACCTTTACCTCACTCTTCCTTCATTATGCAGTTACCTAAATTTTAAAAAGGTGTTCAAGATATCTTTTTTTTTTTAAATCAAACTGGTTATATTGATACAAATTGGTGAGAGCGATTAAATGCAATTAAATGTGTCATATTTGTTTTTTTTACCTTGACCTGCTGCATAACCTTGAATTTAAATTTTTTCCCCATTTTGCTCTTAGTTCATCTTACATAATTTCATAAAGGATTACTTTATAAAACTCCACACAGCGATAAATCTCTGTAAGAGAATTTTAACCATACATCCTTAGGAGATCATATAAAAACGTTGTAAATATGAACTTGAAACAGTGAGACTTCATTTAGCTGTTAGATGATAGATTGGAACTACATATCATGCTATGAAGGACAACAACTGTACTGAGGTTATCAGTTCTGTATGGAGAAAAAAAATCATCATATTTGACTATTTTCTCTGACCAATGAAGGAAAGTACTTTTTTTTTCATGTTGCAATAAAAATGTATTTGGGGTGGGCCCTCATGTCTTTTGGACAAATTTCTAGTTTTTATAATTTTATATTTCAGCATGACAAGGCAGGTCTTCTCAGTATGGCCAATGCAGGTCCTAATACAAATGGATCACAGTTCTTTATTTTGTGTAAGCCAGCTCATCATCTAGATGGTAAACATGTAGTTTTTGGAAAAGTTATTAAAGGAATGGGTGTTGTTCGTGAACTGGAGAATGTGGAAAAAGAAGGAGAGAATCCAAAATTGGTATGTAAAAAAAAAAGAATTGGTAGGATGTATAGAATTTTTTTTTTAAATTTACATACAAAATTTTGTGGAAAGTTTTCTTTTGCTTTGTGCTTTTGAAATGACAATGTCAAGACCATAAAAAGGGAGGTGTTGTTGTTTTGTTTTGTTTTTTCAAAGTGCACAGTTTTCTTTAGAGGTAAACCATTGTTTTCAGTTATAAAAGTCCGAAATTAAGTAAAATGGATAATTTTATTGGATATATGATAGTTTGTGGGGAAAAATACACATACTTGTACATACAACTTTAAAAGTACCATAAATTTGACATATTTCCTACAGGAGTGTATAATCAGTGATTGTGGAGAGTTAGCCCCCGGTCAGGATGATGGTGTGTCCACAGGTGATGAGACAGGTGATGCGATTCCAGACTGGCCAGAGGACTGTGATGTAGATTTCAGTAATGTATGTATGATTATTATAAATTTGTGGGTCACCCTTATGAACGAATTTACATCCCCATGAACAATTATTTTATTAATGTATTGATTTACTGAAATTAGCTACCAATGAAATTATATCCCTACGAACCAGTAAAATTTTGCTTGCCCGGTAACATTGATCCCCATGATTTAAAATAATTCCACAGTACACTCCTGTGGTTGGAGACACTGTAGGTTATTAAAGCATCGAGCAAAGTATCATCTTTGAAAATAAACACTGGGTTAAAAATTGACACCAAGTCACATATATTTATTTCCAATGGAAAGACACTACATCTACACATTTTATATACCTGTAATGTGTATTAAATAATCTGTGATCATATATTATTACAGTCTGAAAACAAAGACAAAGTGTTAGAGATGGTAAAATCCATAAAAGACTCTGGTAATGCGTTGTTTAAGGAACAGAAATATCAACTAGCAAAGAGAAAATATAAAAAGGCTCTCAGGTAAATAAAGATTAATAGACTGACTCTATACATACTCTCTAGAGACAGAAAAGTGTATTCCTTGAACTGGTAACGGGTATATGTTTGTATACCATGCATCTAGTTCATAAAACTTTTGGCTCTAAGAGACCAGAAGAGATAATGCATTGGTAAAGTGTCCATCATTGATTTGTACATGTACCTGCCATTTCATCTGTAAAATAATATTCAAAATCCAGCTTAATTCTCTTAGTCTGATCAACAAAACTTGGTACAATGTTAGACCACGTCAGGTACCTAATTCAGTGTATTGGTTTTGGGTTTTGATGAGGTATGTTGCTTATTCTGAAATAGAAAAATCTGTGATTTTTAGCTCTACTGGTCAGAGACCAGTAATTGCTGTAAACAGTGTTTCAAAATGCTACTTCTCCTACAGTTTTGGTCCAAGTTCAGTAAGACTTAGTATACAAGTAGACTATACTAAGATAATAATTCTCTATCTTTTTTTGGATTTCAATAAATGGCATTGCCAAAGTTACTAAAAATAGAAATTTCTGTGAAATTCTTTCAAAACATTACCCCTCTTATGGTTTTGGTTGGATCAGTAGAGCTATAGTCTCATCAGAGAGTTCTGGTTTTCAATGCTACTGTCATAAAATTATATTTTTATTTCATTAGAACTGGGGAACAAATTGACTATATACTTGTACATGTAGATATATGCAACTTTTTATATTTATTACACATGTATATTGATTTTGATGAGTGATATAGGTATGACTTGAAATGTAATAATCTGCAAAGTTCTTTCAAACTGCTACTTCTTTTTCAGTTATAATCTTATTTCAGAAAAAAAACTTTGTTCATAAGTAGACTCATACACCAATATACATGTACACTATTATTTGTGTTGATTTTTTTTATTAAATTGAATGTGATTCCATGGTAACTAAAATAAAAAAAAAAGAATTGGTAAAATTTTAAACAAGGCTACTAGATTTTGAGTTCATTTTTCTAAAATGAGATACAGTTCACAAAATATCATAACTGACAACTCTTAATATAGTCTACTTGTATACTAAGTCTTACTGAACTTGGACCAAAACTGTAGGAGAAGTAGCATTTTGAAACATTGTTTACAGCAATTAATGGTGTCTGACCAGTAGAGCTAAAAATCACAGATTTTTCTATTTCAGTATAAGCAACATACCTCATCTCATCAAAACCCCAAACCAATGCACTGAATTAGGTACCTGAAGTGGTCTAACATTGTACCAAGTTTTATTGATCAGACTAAGAGAATTAAGCTGGATTTTGAATATTATTTTACAGATGAAATGGCAGGTACATGTACAAATCAGTGATGGACACTTTACCAATGCATTATCTCTTCTGGTCTCTTAGAGCCAAAAGTTCTATAAACTAGATGCATGGTATGCATGGTAGAATGGTGTAAAAGCTTGATATAATGAAGCACTCAAATCCATGTGCAGCTTTTCTTTCATACAAGTCTAACCAATGGAGAGACAGTTCCTTCAGAAACTTATGGTTGAACATTTCAGTTTTCAGTTATTGTTTAATGTTTATACTCCAGGAATGTAGAAACACGTTAATATAATATAACAATCAAAAAATGTTTATACATGTAGGTAATCAGCTTTTTATTTTCAATTTTGAACTTATTCACCCCCCTTTTTTTTTCAGATATTTAAATGAAGTCGACAACAACATGGATTTAAGTGATGAAGAAAATAAAGACATTGAAACATCATATCTAATTCCAGTTTCTCTTAATTTGTAAGTACATGTACTACTGTTGTTCTATATTTGACACTTGCAAATGCAAAAGTAGTCCCCGGACGTCACAGTGCACATGCAGGCTGATATGGCTCTGTATAAACCCAGCTTCTCTCTATATGATTTATTGAGAAATACATGATATATCAAAATACATGTACTGTATATATTAATATTTTCATACTGTGCAGTTTGTTTTAGTTTTATTATAAGAATGGTAATTATCATGCTAAAACATACATGTATTTAATTTTTACTGATCTTACTGCCTTTTTTCTTTGCTAGAGCTGCATGTCACCTTAAACTAGAAGAATATGATCAAGCCATTGAACAATGTAATGAAGTAAGAAGACTTTTTCTTAAAAACATTTGAATGTGTTTAATTTCTCAAACACTTGAGGATTCATGAAAGTCATGTCTTTATAATTGCATGTATATAACCACGAGTTTTGCAGTCATATCCAATTATAACATTTAATAACATTTTATAACATATAACATTTAATGGATAATCTCCCTCTGCAATTTGATATACATAAGAGTTTGCACAGTGTATTTAGATGTCAGTTTCATTCAAAAAAAACATTCTTTACTAACAGCATTACAACCAGAGTAAAAACTTAGCATGATTTGTATTTTATTCCATGTTCAGTGTAACATATCAATTTAGGTTGGATCAGAGGGAATTGGCATTTTAAATGGGTGTTAATCTTTCTTTAATATGTCATAAAGTAGATATGCAAGAATATTTTTGAAACATAAACCAGTGGGGGCTATGTGTGCTTCCATATCTCAAAAAGGTTTGGATTTTTTCCAAAGAAGTTGACAAGAAAAAACAAGTTTGCTTGATAAAAGTTATCTAATTTATGCAAACCTCAGTCTATGAATACAATTTCAGTTTTTTTCTTTCAGTTAGAGCTACATTATAAGCATTTGTTTGGAGATATTTCTCAGTAATTTCTTACTGGCCAGATGAGCATTTAGCCCGTGGGCCTTTTGCTTCCTAATTTTTTAAAAATATTTATAGTATATGATGTGAGCTTACTTAATAATCATTTATACTGTTTTTTCCTACTTTTCAGGTACTAGCAGCAAATGATAAAAATGTCAAAGCGCTGTTCAGGAAAGGCCAAGCAGAGAGTGCCCGCAAGAACTTTGATGTGGCCGTGGTATGTATAAATTTTGTCAGTGTTTTCAGCAGATGTCTTAATTTCTCAAAAAGAAAACAAATCTGACAGTCAACAAGCTACCCAAGATTCAAGGTTTTCACCAATAAATGCAATATGTATTTGGAAATTTAAATTCTGAATTCCAAATTTCTTTATCTGCATGTACTTTATTTATTCTTTAAAAATTAAGCTATGAAAAATTTAAGTTTAAATATTATTTACATTTCTTTCTAGGCTTGTTTAAGTGAAGCTGCTAAACTGGAACCATCTGATAAAGGTAATGCATTTTCCTAATTTAAAAAAAAAGAAATAAACTTGGTGCTTTTGCTAACATACAATGTTGTTATACACATGTAAATATTTGAGTATCGCGGGTATTGTCATGATATGATAGGTATCATGTTACTACGACAAAATAATACTGTGTGTCATGATACAATTAAATATACAATGTAAAGCAGAAAATTGTTTCTTTTGTTCTGTATAATGACATAATAAAGGTATATCAGTATAACATCATGTGTATAATAGCAATTTATTGTATATTTTGGAAAAGAACACTTTGATTACTTGATCACTGTAATACTACTTACTCATTTCATGAAGTACCAGTTCCCTTTTTACAGTTTTTTCCCCTAATAAATTCGGTACATGTGTATTTCAGAACTTGTATGTCACTTGTGGTCATTAAAGGTCAATTAAGAAATGAATTTAAATTATGAGAATTCATGAGGACATGAACTACGACGCTTCACGCCAGCATATTTCATGATGTGTGTTAGCGCTTCATGATAAATATGCAGTCGTGAAGCATTGTACCGGTAGTTCATGTACCTCATGAATTCTCAAAGATTAAATGATGTTATCATCCGTGCACCATAAGGCGATACCACACATAACATAAAATCTCATATTTTGTTTATTTTAGTATATATCAATTTGAAATTTGCTATGTATATTGATTAAAAATGTACTAAAGAGTAGTGAAAATTTTAGAACACAGTGTTGTTTATTTTTCACTGTAGAAAACTTGTCCACAATTTTACCGGACAACCATCATATGTACAAAATGTACCATACAAAGCCACCACACGATTTTTTTTCCATTTGAATTTTAGGTATTCAGAGAGAGTTGGCAAGGGTTCAGAAGGTTATAGAGGAATATAAAGCTAAAGAGAAAAAAATGTATGCCAAAATGTTTGCATGAATTCTCACACATCAAACTTTGTTGCAAACTATTTCCTTTTACTTGAATGTATGTGTATAAATATAATCAACTAATTAATCATACCATTTTGAATGGAACATGTTTTAGAATTAGTTTTATGAATGATGAACTGTTAATATAGGATGGCAAAATAAGAAGGAAAAGCTACAGTAAATTCAGATGTTTCATTTTTAGCTCACCTGAACCAAATGCTGAAGTGAGATTCTCTGATTCAAGAATGTCTGATATCCATCTGTAAATATTTCATATTTTCATTAACTTTTCCAGAACCTCTTTGTCAATATTTATAAAACTTTCTATAAAGCATTGTTGGATGAATAAGATACAGATTTGTTCAAATGAAGAGCCATATCCCTATTTCATAGGGAGATAATCAAGAAATAGTGAAAATGAGGGTCTTCTAGAATCTTCTTTTCAAGAACAGCTAGACCAGAAAAGAAAGCTCCCACATACAATCAGACCTTTAAATTTTTTATTGGATTTGAGATAATGAGGTTAATATACATACAAAAAGTAGTGAGGCTTTCATATCCATGGTATTAGAGGTGTTGATGTTCAAGATACTTTAACTGTACAGTAGATAAATCATAGCTCATGGGGGCTAGGATGGAGCCAAAATAGGGAATCGAAGTATGGATGAAAATCTCAAGAACCGCAAATTAGCCATAATGATATGCTAGCATCCTAATGTTGTGTAGATTACAGTTTATTCAAATCATGATCCCTAGGTATGCCACAATTGGGGAACAATACAGAAATAGATATCAACATTTGCAAGAACAAAAAACTTGTAATGCTCACATTTGAAGCCTCAAATGTACTTTGATATTAAGTTGCTGCTCGTACATTATAGACTTTCCTTTGGTGACCACTGTAAGGATTTTCAATAGATTGTTTGTGAAAGGAAACCTTTTAAGAAAATTATATTTGGTCAATACTATTACATGTACTACTTATATTGTATGTCAGTAATACAAGTATTTTTACTTAAGTTTGCCTTTAATTGAGCATTGTGTAAAGGATTTGTGAGGGTTTGTCATTTCATGCTTAAGATTTGCTACATTTTTTTTTTCATTATGATCAATTCTTTTTACAAGGATTTATACTGAAGAACATAACATTTTATTTCAGTGTTCATATATCAAATACATGTACTGTAGATGAATAAAGACTTTAAATACAAAAACATTCTTTTCTCAATTGATTGCATATTCGAAGGCAAATCTTTTTATCAAGTAATCTGTGAGTCACTCAGGTGACCTATTGCCATCTGTTTTTGTCTGTCCTAGTTTGACATTCGTCATCTCTTGTGGTTAAAATTTGATAATTTTTCAGCTTCTTCTCAGGAATAGCTGAACCAATTTGGCATATGGTATCTTTTGGTGAGGAGGAACAAAAAATATGAATTTCATGGTCCCTGTCCTACTGGGGTTGTGCTCAAAACCATGAAAGTTAAGGCAATCTTTAAAAATCTTCTTTACTCCTGGACATCAAGCAGTCAAACTGTTGGCATGACTGTGATAAGCATTAAGACCTCTACTAAAATTGTTAAATTCATAGCCCCATGGTCAAGGGTTTTGGTGTTAGGGTGGGGCTCTATAGATTATATAGTGAAAATGAAGAAATCTTCTCTCTCCCTTTATATTTAGCAGAAAAACTGCATGCAAAGATATGATGAGCAAGGGTGCCTCTTCGAAATATGTGAAATTCATGGCCCTACTTAAAGATAGGGTCCAGGTAATAGGCTGAAACTCTATTGGTGTTGAAGTGAAAGTGCATTTATTATTTGAAAATCTACGCTGCTCCTGGGTATTAAGAACACAAACTTATAACTTTAGGCAATTCTTCAAGTTATACAAACATGGTTATGATGAGCAAGAGTGCCTCTTCCAAAATTGTGAAATTCATGGCCCCTGGGTCAGGGGTTCTGGAGTTAGGTGGGGCTCCATCAATCATATAGTGAAAATGCATTGATTCTTTGAAAATAAAGTACGAACTAAGGAAATGATGATCTCCACTGAAATAAGAAATCTAAACTAACAATGGTCCCAGAAATGTCTTTTAATGGTGAATTCTCAAATTCCTTTTATCTCCCCTTCTTATCAGTAATCCCGAGTCCACTCGTGGCTGTGGTACCCTTGATGTTGTGAGGATGACTCTCCCTCAAGATTTTGCCTTATTTTATAAAGCTTCAAGCTAGAAAATGTTCATTTGAAGAAAATGAATCTGCATTTGGAATATATCCAAGTTCATTCATGCACCAGTTCATTCAAACTGATCTTGGGTTAGGCATGTAGCATCGTTTTTTTTAATGGACAATCAGGATAATAATTTGAAAATTTACCTTAAGTCTTTGTCTAGCAATACATGACTAAACTTCGACAAAAATGGGGGGGGGGGGGGACCAGCCTTTCAACAAACATTTTCATTCTAAATCAATAGTTAAAGATTATGTTCTAAAAAACATTGGAGTGGGGCATCCCCCCTTTCTACGTGCCTGTGGGTGAAATCTTTAAGTTCGAATGAAGTTTACTGATCTTTGATCATCTTTTTTTCTCATTTTATTTTATTATGTCCATGGATCTTTTTCAGAGTTGTTTTATTCTCAGATGACTATTAAGACCCTATGGCCTCTTGTTGTCTTTAGAATAAAATAATAATTTATGTTGAAAAACTCTGGAAAAGACCTGATCCCCCCCCCCCCCCCTGTGCCTTTGGGGGAAATCTGTAAGTTAGACTGAAAGTTGACTTGTCTGAAATATAAACTAGTTGCAACTCTTTATGAAAAAAAATTTCTGATGTTATATAATTTTCACTGGATTTGCATGTGGGACTGGTAGATCAGGTGAGCTATCTTCGAAGTAAATGATCAATGACGATCATATGGAGTTTGTACACTGGATACCCATGACAATCGTATGATTTCATCGGATTTTTTAAGATTTTTCTTGCAAACGTGTTAGTTAGCATTCAATTCTAACTTGTATCACAGGTGCTTGTGGACCCCAATATATACACCCTGGTCCAAGGATTTCATAAATTATTCCTCTGATAAGAGCGATAACTCTCACTCGGATAAGTGACTAATTTCCTTATAAAATTGTCAAGTTAAAAGGCCATTCTGACAAAATTTTTCTCCGTAAGGTATGATGAAATTGTGTGCACTTTATTTAAATATTAAATTTCTTTTGGAAAATAACTAGCTTCAAACTAAAAAGAATTATGAGTACACAGGGAGGGTGAACCTTAAAAATTTCTTGAAGATTTTGTATGTTTATTTTGTTGCAACGAATTAAAAAAATCCCTGTACAGTATATGTCCTGAATCAGCCACCGTAGAAAACAACCAAAGCATTTCTAGACGTAAAAGAAAAAAATCAATTGTGCAGAGGTTTACGTGTATGCATGATGTTGAATTTTAAATGGATTTGTAAAAAATGATCGTAACAAATCTTCCTATCGAGGGGCTTTTACGTGGATCCAAGGTGACTTATTTATGGGTTCATTTCTTGTCAACTCTGAGACGCAAAAAAATAAAACAATCCTCGTCAACTCGATCATGTCTTTCGCTTTGCAATAGAAAATAATACAAATCAGGACTGGTCGCTGTGTGACACAAACTATAGATTCACAAATCCTAGTGTACATTTTTGGATCTTGATTTCTTGTATAAAAATAGATGCAGGAACAGACGAAAAGTACGGAGGAGAAGGTGAGTTTTTATTCTAGTACAATATCCTTATTGTACAGATGTAACATTTAAAGTAAATACTGCACGTCAGATTGATGAATACCGGGTTAAGACATTATATTTATAGTCTGTCATTTCTAACTCGCCTGGAAGTATTATGGAGAATTCCCACATGAAGCAAAATGAAAATAATAAATATGAAAGATTTATCATTTCCAAACCAATTTTCCTCAGATAGGATACGTGCAGCTTCAAAGAAAGAACGAGGGCGCATTTGATTAGCATTCGGCTGGAATCTGTGTGCACTGAAAAATTTCTTTGATCTATCACATGAAATTTTAACATTCTTTGATGTATTGGGTTCTTGTGAATTCGAAATAGGAAAGGGGAATATTTTCCCCATATTGTGTTTTGATTTGCTAAAGAATAACTTGAAAATTGACATAAAATTGTCTTAATTAGAAGAGTATTTTAATAGAATACCAGTCATGCATTCAGCAAATTTTATCTCAGTGTAGTTTGAATGTCAGTTTTGAATAAAACATCAAGATTTTACGTAAACACTAAAAAAAATTGTAACCTCTAAACCCATTTTCTTGGCCCTGAGATCTTGCTTGTCTGCATGATAAAATTAGAACCACAGTAAAAATTGCTTTTATTTTATGTTAGCATTTTAAATACAGTGTTGTAGGAATAGATTCCCCTGCAAGGAAAGTGAAGTCTGGTCGAAACTGAATGATAACATGAGCGTACTGCAGCAGTTACTGTATCTCCCCACCCTGTTAGATAATCTCCGGAGGAGGGGCTTGATCGACCAGCAGACAATCGAAAGCCTTTCACTTTTAAATCGGGATGACGCAGTCATGAGACTTTTAAATATACTGGTGACCGGGAGACCCTCCCGAGCCCTCGACATGTGTGACGCTCTACAGGAAGCAAACCTCGACATAGCAGAAAAAGTGGGACTGGGCCCTCTCCCAGGTATGCTGGCACAATTAATTATGTGCGTACATTTTCTTTTGAGTTATGAAATAAAAAAAGAACGAACGTGTTGAAATGGATAAACTTTAAAAAGCTAGATATATTTTAATAAATTTTAGATAGTTTTAACAAAACATATGCTTGCTCATTTTTTTTTTAAATTAATAAGTTCAGTTTAACCGTAAGCTTTTTATGCAGTCAGTTTTGTCATAACATTGAAAACTTAACAGTTATATTAAAGCTGCAGAAGATTGTACAGATGCTCCGGCTCATAGTCCTATTGTTAAATCCTATCATGCTGTGTTAACAATATCTATAGAGCCTCACATACACATTGAGCCTAATCAACTTTGTCATTCACGGAATAGACATTTAGTTTTCATGTAACTTTTACGTTACATTGGATATACTGTCAGGTTAGTATCACCGTTTCTTGATTCGTAGAGGAGATTTTTCTTTTTCAGTTTCTGTACGCTTACCCCTTTGATCTGTTTTTTTATGAGGCAAATACTGTGATATTATAATGATTTTTAGATCACCAGAGTCACTCAAGTGACCTGTTGCTATCTGTTTTCGTCCATCGTGTTAAATTAATATTCGTACATATTCAGCTTCTCTGAAACCGCTGAACCAATTCCAGCCAATTTTGGCATTGGGCGTCTATGGGTGAAGGAGAACATAATTTTTGAATTTCGTGATCCCCCCTGGGACGTGAAGGGTGGGACTAAAATTATAAAAATTGATGCATTGTTGAAAAAATCTTCTTCTTTAATCTTTACTTCTGGACATAAATCAGTTAACTGGTTGTAATAATGAGTCCTTTACCAAAATTGTGAATTTCATGGCACCTGGATCAGGGGTTCTGGAGTTAGGGTGGGACCCTACTGATCATGTATTGAAAATGTATAAATACTTTAAAAATCTTTTCTGTCCCTGTATATTTAGCAAACAAAGTATAAGTGGATGGTTGTATTGAGCAAAGCTTCTTCTTTCGAAATTGTGAAATTCATGGCCCCAGGATCAGGAGTTCTGGTGTTTGGGGTGGGGTGGGGGTGTATTGACAATATGGTGAAAACGCATTATTTCCTTGGAAATCTTCTTCTCTGGTCCTTGATATTCAGCAGATAAACTAAGCGCATGGTTATGATGAGCGAGGATGCCTCGTCTAAAATTGTGAAAATCATGGCCCCATGCAGGGTCAGGGTTTCTGTTGTTAGGGTGGGGCTCTATTGATTTTATCGTGAAAATGCATAAATTCTTTGAAAATCTTCTTCTCTGCTCCTGGGTATTAAGCAATCAAAGGAAGTGCATTTTCATCATGTAGCCTTGAAATATGCGTCTTTATGTAGTTAGAGAGAGCCATCAAAAGTTGCAAAAGCTTGAAGAAAACTAACGTTATTATCTGAAAACCATTTTACGTATTTCTCGCCTTGCATTTGACCTACTGAGCTCAAAATCAAGAGAGTTCTTCTTTAAATCTCAAGGGAGTTAGATATAAAAGTTCTCTTATCTTAGTAAATTGGGGAAACAGACTGGAAAATTACGGACAGTATTTGAAAGTATAAATTTTTCACAGAAATACACAAAAAAATAGGAGGGTATTCTCGTGTACAATACTCTTCAAGCAATTTCAGGAATAAAAACCCCGTCTTTCATTAAACTAACAAACAAATAATCAATCCAAAAAAAAAAATGTCTCCCTTTAGATATAAGATAACCATAAGATGAGCATGTCTACACTTTTCTAACATGAAGTGCTTAAAATCAATTCTATTAAATGGTTGTTTTTACTGTATACCACATTTTTTTAATTCCAGGATGAAGAGTCCATTATACTTGCGGTGATCCTAAGATAAATATGTGATACAGGAATTCTTTGTTTTGTTTGTCCCTTATAGGAACACTCAGAATAATTGCAACTCCACATAATATTTCTTTCAGTTTGTATATTATATTATTTGTTGATAGTAAACATGTATTGTTACCTCAAGCTTGTATTTTTACTTGAGTTACTTTTGTGTCGTTTTGCAATTTGTGTCTATAATCTTGAAGTAAAAATTTATTATATACATGTAGTACTTTAATAAGAGTACGCCCAGTCCTTTGATTATTTTCTTATTGCTCAAATTGTGGATTATCGTTCAGAAAGTTGTTCATTTTTCCTTTCTTCCTTTTTTTAAAATCATTTTTTCCCTCATTTTAAAGTTTTAAAAGACTTTTCTGTCATGGAATTGAAATTTTAGAGATTAATATAGGGAAAGGAAGTTAAAAAAAATTAAAGTTTGATGCACAACGAAGATATTTATAGAACTTACGAAAAAAAAAGAACTTTTTTAAAATAATAAGCTACTCACAAAGCATTATTCTACCCAAATCTCTATTCCATTTGTCCATTTGCTCATGGTAAACATCAGTCAATAAAAGACTTCTTCAAAAAAGGGTTACTGCACAGTGAGTGTTATATAGCAAAGGTTCCCCCTTTCAGAAATTCCCTAGGGTTAATTTGCTATATATAGCAAAACTAACCCCGGATTATTTTCATATAGCAAATCTTTCCCTAATGGAATGCTATATTCTACCCCCTTCCACTTTAGAAATGAGTGCTTATTCGCAAATATTCCCCTCTTTGTAGAATTTCTTTGCCCGGAATGTTGCGATATTATGGAGGAACCCCCCCCCCCCCCACTTATCCGGATTATGGTTATTTTGGTTATTTTAATTATAAAATCTGTACGATGAAATGCTACTGAGTTAATACGATTAATTAAAATTTGCAGTCTTTTATTTGTAAACAATAAGGCACAAGACTTTGTGTAGTGTGACATAACAAACTTTACACGAACTGCGAGGCACATGTTAATTGATATTCAACTTTCAGGGTTTTTTTTACTGTTGGAAAAAGCCAAGTCTTCCAATAATTTGTTGGAATTTCCATGGATACTAATTGTGGCCCGTTATTATCAGACCTGTTTTTTTTTTTTTTTTTTTTTTTTTTTTTTTTTTGTATTCTTATGAAGCCAAATTAATTCAAAAAGTTAAAAACGTGAAAAGAAGTCTCTTGTTGTGACCTTCTATTCGACATTTAGTTATATTAACGACGTTTTATCAATAAACAATATTCATTTTCATTCCTGTGTTGATTCAGTATATCCCACTAAACTCGAAATAAAAACCACCACAGATTCTGACATCGTAAGGAATGAAAATGTATCTGGAATTTTGGAAATCTGTAGATTCCTTCATTAAATTTATTAGATCTTGCCCTAAAGGTCAAGATCTAGTAAATGAAAGGTGCCTACAAATTTGAGAAAAAAGTTCCTTTTATGATGCTTCATCACTACAGCTTATTTAAATATTGTGTATCGGAGCATAATTTTTAGGTAAATAAGGCTAAAAACATATTTTAAATAGTCCTTTTTTATGAAAAATGAAGAAAACACGTCTTGAATTTTGGAGGGTTTTTTTTCTATATATCAGACAAATGAAATGTATCCATATCGCCTACAGTCTCCCTGAAAACAGTAATGTGTATGTCCTTGGCCTCTACTTATTGAATTGGTTATAGATATCGGTACAACTTTTCACATAATTTCAAGTTGAATTCCATGAAAATGCTTTATTTTCTGTATAATGTTCTATTAAAGCTGTAAAGTAAGGGGGGAAAAAAAGAAAGTTGAGATTAATTATGACGTCATTAAGATTTTTTATGTTAGCAATTATGACGTCATAAAACATAATTGTTACGTCACAATCTATACACTGCACACATAAATATTATGAACATAAGAAAGAAAGAAGATCGATGCATGCATGATGAAAAATGAAAAGTAATGAAACAATGGTGAGTTATTTTCTATACATATTGCGTATAAAAAAAAAGCTACATGTGTACATGAGAATTAAATGCCTTGGAAAACATGCCATGAATGACATAATACAGTACTAATTTTTTTTAATTATAGACCCTAGTTAATTTGTACTCTCACTCACTATATGTATAGTATATAGGTACTTGAACATAATGTAGCACATTGGATTTATTTTTAGATGTCCTCCCTTAAATAAATCTATCATTGCAACCCCCCTCCAAATGTTTAATTTATACATATTAAAAATTTTCATTTTATTGGTCTTGTAAAGTTTTCTATTACATGTCTTGATCAACTCAAAAAATTTCCTATGTAAAGTGGTAAATGAAGTTTTATTTAAGGTATATATACTGCCATAGAGAATATTAATTTTCTTTTTTATTAATTATTTTATTTTTTTTCAACACAATTCATTCTATACAAAATGTCCATTATCTTTTCTATAACAGAATTGTATATATATAGAATTACGAAAATAGTTGGTTCAACCTGTTTCACTGAGTGTCAATTTTCTCTTTCTCACCATTTTTATATGATATTTATTTTTGTGTCTGGTAAAAATAACTCACGTGTGATTATCGCAGTGTGCACATTTAGAGGTTTTTCAGTGTATCTAGAAGTATAAATATAATATTTTAACCATAAGATTAAGATATTTGCTATTTCATTATTTTTTCCTCTAATACCTAAAAATGAATGATTTTTTTGTTTTGGACAAATGGAGGTTTCTCTGCTGGAGATAATATTCAAAGTTTTCAAGGAGTGATCGTACAATATCACATTCATATAGGATAGTAGTATGTTCAATTGTCTCTTCTTCTTTTTGACAAAAAATACACTGCTTATAAACAAACTGTCTGATTTTAAAATAAAAAAGAATTAGTTGCCAATATTTTATTTAAAATTCTGTACTGAAACCACTGGAGTTTACAGTTTTTTGTAACTTGAAATGGTAATTTATGAATTATTTTGCATTCCTTGCTATCCAAATCAAATAATTCAATCCACTTTTTGTAACCAGCTGTTATAGAAGAATTTTCATTTAGAATTTCATAGAAGTTTTTTTTTGATTTTTTGCATTTTGATACAAGATAAAAATTTGACATAAGAGGATTTTCTGCTTTTTATAATTTTTTTTATCAAAGTTGTTCCTCTTTATCAAAGCTTTAACTGCATGGATTAAGCTAGAATATTCTAAAAAAAAAAAAATCTTTATATCTGTATAAGTATTGCAAAAGCATTCATAGCTATAAAAAATGTCATCTACTCCAATAATTTCATTAATATATTTTGTATTTAAACATATTTTATTGAAACATAATCAATAGGATTGGACACAAGTTTTACCAACTTAGAATTGTCCTCTCCAACACAAACAAAATGACATATACATATATACGTGATGTACAACCAACAAATGTACAATACAAAAAAAGTGCAGGGAAATAAGAAAAGAGTGGGGGGGGGAGGGTGCAAAGAAAGAAAGGAAAGGGGTTGTAATAGATACAGAATGGTTACGCTGGGTATTCATAAAAATCTTTTCGATTTTTTAATATATTTGTGTACGGCTTTAACTATGTTCATATTATTTTGTTGTCCCAAGTTTGAGTCCCCAAATAGAATTATGTCAAGGTCTATTGTTCCTTTGTTATTTCTTATAGTGTGAAATAATTCTAATCTTATTTCAGCATAATTCTTACAATACAAAAAAAAGTGTTCAGTGTTTTCATTGATATATCCACAAGAACAATGAGTGTTATCTGAAAGCCTGACTTTGAACAGGTCTGACTTAAGGAGACTCACATTGTGTCTCATTCTAGTTAAAATTGAGTTTATTTTCTTTTCACCAAAAGAAAAATATTTTGGAGGAGATTCACATTTAAGAAGTCTTTTTTTTGAAAGCACTTACAGTTTCAAGGTTTCTGATTTCAGAGGGCAAGGCGTTCCATAATGATATTGTAGATGGAAAGAAGGAATTTTTTAATAAGTTCGTTCTACATTTGGGTATAACAATATTATTACAATTTCGTAAATCATACTGGGTTATTTCTGAGACTTCAGGAGGTAAGAGATTCGATAAATAGTCTGGCGCGAGACCATGTTTTATTTTAAACATTAAACATAACTTTCTCTTTTCTCGTCTATAAGCAAGTGTTTCCCATCCTGTTTCATAATATAAAGAGTTACGGGGGGAGTAAATAGGAAGTCCAGTTACAATACGTGCAGCTTCTAATTGAAGTTTCTCTAGCCTTTCACAGTCAGCTGCAGAAATATTATCCCATACTTCTGATGCATATTCAAATAAGGGCCTAATAAATGTAGTATACATCTTTGTTAAGAAATCACGATTTAAAGATAATTTCAATTTTCTAAGAACTGCAATTTCTTTTGAAGCCTTTTTAATAATATTATCAATGTGGTTTGTCCATTTCCCAGAATTCGAAAACGTAAGTCCAAGATGACAGTGAGTAGAAGATGGAATGATTTCTTGACTGTTAAACTTAAAGCTTAGTTTGGATACTTCATCTTCACTACTGCCAAATATTAATATTTTGGTTTTTTCAGAATTAAATTTTACAAGCCAGTTTTTTGACCATTGGTTAATTTTTTCTAGATCATGGTTAGTAAGTTTTTCTAAGTCCTTCAAGTTTTTAGATGTGTTTGACACAGATGTGTCATCTGCAAATAGTCTAGAGAGACCTGAAAGTCCACATGGTAGGTCATTTATATATACTAAAAAAAGTAAAGGCCCAAGAACAGAACCTTGGGGAACTCCTGCTTTCGTTCTTCCCACTGAAGAACTTGATGATTTGATTTTGACCTGCTGTGATCGACCAGTAAGATAATCATTTAACCAAGCAAGAACTTCACCCACAAACCCGTATTTTTCTAATTTGTATTTTAAGCCTTTCAACCAAACCGTATCGAATGCCTTACTGATATCACAAAAAGCAAAGCAGGTGACTTCTTTATTGTCTAAAGCAATACAAATGTTATGATAAATTTCTATTAACTGGGTGACTGTTGAATGTCTACGCATAAATCCAGCTTGTATGTTATATAACAGTTTATGTGATACTAAATGGTTATAAATGTATTTAAACATTACTCTTTCAAAGATTTTCCCCATACAACTCAACAAGGAAATTGGTCTGTAGTTTGATGGGTTTGATTTCTCTCCCTTTTTAAAGACAGGAATAACATTAGCATGTTTCCAAACACATGGAAATTTCCCAGTTTTCAGAGATTTATTGAACAGAATTTTTAGAGGGATTGCAATTTCATTACTTATTTCTTTTATTAGAATATGACTAAAATTGTCGGGACCGGAGGCTTTTTTAGAATCTAAAATTTCGATAATATCCATAATTTCATTTTCGTCTATTATGATATTGTCAAGTTTGGCCTCTGTCCTTGTTTCGAATTCGGGAAGGTCTTTATCTAATATTATTGTCAAAAAGAATATTATGGAATTTATTTTAAAAGTGGGACAAGATTTTTTGGATATTTTTACGTGTGCGAAGCATTAAAACTAGCAGTTTTGATCTCTGTCAGGGTGGTTTATTTACTCTTTCCATCTTAAAACAGGCCAGGGAGTATTCTCTATTGAGAAGTTGGTGGCTCGTTAAACGAGCCATCAACTTCTCAATAGAGAATAGCCATGCAGGGATTACATACGGTTACCAAAACGGGAAGGAAAAATATATAGAGAGTTTTGTCGCACTTCTGATATTCTTTATTACTGTGACAAAATATCACTTTCGTATTCTTTCACACTGTTATGAAATATTTATTTTTATTCAATGAATAAATATAGGATCTCCCATGATTTGTAGTTAGATATGATTTTTATCCAACGAGTTGTGTGTTTTTTTTTATCCCCGAGCCTTGGCGAGGGGATAAAAACACAAAACGAGTTGGATAAAAGTCATATCCAACTACAAATCATGGGAGATTCTTTTTATCCCATGTTTAATACTTCACAACCAATGTTTTACACTGTTTTATGTAGGACTCCACTTTCTTTTACTTCATCACTCTAACGTAAAAACCATTGTGACGTCACAACTGCACTTAACTGTGAGTTATGAAAAAAATACCCAATGAGTCATATCCACGGGATAAACATGGGATAAATTACAGTATTTCACTGTTGAAAATATTAAACTGTTAAAAATCCAGTTTGACTCAGATTCGTGATGCCTTTCGTGTGCCCCTGTAACCCCCTGCGCAAGCGCATGTGTATTTGTTTATACACGTACAATCACTGAATCAGTCATTCGATATTTCTTCCTGTGATATTAATTAGACAAGGTAAGTCCGTAAGAAACGAACGTAATTATCCTCAAAGAATCATATATGAGAATCACTGGAATCATTAAATATTTAACTAGGCTAGGGATCGTTTGAAGAAATAATGTAAGGGATACTGCCAAATTCAATCACATCCTGACATGTGCTTCAGGAGGCGCAGATTTATAGATGATGATCAATACCCAATATTGATTTCAGAAATACAGCGTGCCATATATTAGTAGACATAGTTGTGTAACTGTACGTTGCGTCAGCATGGTCATGGACCTAGATACAGCTCCACACTAGTATATATTATAGGTCTCTGTTGCATCACCCACGTTTTTAAAACGAAAGTAGATCTTAGCTTCTTTGTCTCTTACTAAGCTTGTACGTTTGGTGATTTCACGATAAAATAAAAATAAAATAAATGAATAAAATAAAATAAATGAATAAATAAAAAAAAAAAATTGACAGTAGGGCCTGTGTGTATGTTGATATATATGTTAGTTATTAAATTTTTAAAAAAAAAGATTGACAGTAGGGCCTGTGTATATGTTGATATATTATATATGTTAGTTATTTTAAAAAAAAAAAAAAGAAGACTATCTAGAGGGTTTCATTATTTTTTTTATGCAGCATAGTAGTGTTAAGACTACAATATCTTGTAGAATAAATATTTATGTTACCGGTACATTAATTATGTGATTGAATATTAGATTAGTTTTACCAGAGACCTATAATTACTATCATTTGTATATGTATACATGTACATCCTTGTGTTTTTCAAGAGAGAGAGAGAGAGAGAATGTAAGCTGTAAGTGTCTTTCTTTATTAGTTGATTTAATCTTGGATAATTTTAGTGTTGTAGAAACAGGTTTCCGTACATGGGAAGTGAAGTCTGGCGGAAACTAAACGAGAACATTGTTTTGCTGCAGCAGTCTATTCACCTTCCCACCTTCTTAGACAACTTGGGCAGAAGGGGTTTAATTGATCAGGAAACAGCCAACAGTCTTCTAGTTTTAAGTTGTGAGGAGGCAGTTCCCAAGCTTCTAGAAATTCTAGTGTCTTCTACTCCTTCCAGCACCAACGATATGTGTGACGCACTCCAAGAAACTCACCCAAATATTGCAGAAAAAGTAGGATTGGCTCCTCTTCCAGGTATACAACAAAAAGATTTTGTTCTATAAAATCAAGTATAATTAATTCTAACAATAAAACATCACAGGGATAATTCAATGAACACATAAAAAAGTAATGAGATAATTTTAAGCTGCCCCCCAAAAGGAGACATACATGTATATGCACATGCAGAATTGCTGCATAGTTCAAATGTTATTTAGTGCTTCAAATAATATGAATTAAAAATGCATTTTTTCTTACTAGGAGTGTACTTCTGACAGTGTGATTTTCCTGCTAAATTACGGATATGTTTAAATTAAAGTACATTGTTAGAAATGAACTGTCACATTTGCATAAATAATCATGGAAGTCATGATCTTTATGAGTGTCTTATACATACTGACATTTTAGTAATTAATATCATTATCTGGTAAGAAGAAGATAACAGCATTAAAGAGAGAGAGAGAGAGAGAAAGAGAGAAGTGTCAGTGAATAATTATACCTGTATATTTCAGCTGAAAAAGATTGTAAGGATCCTACTGGTCATAGCCATGTTGTGAAGTCCTATCATGCTGTGTTAGCAATCTCTACAGAACCTCACAAACACAAAGAGGATAACCAGCTTCACCACTCCAAGGACAAACACTCCGCTTTCATGTAACAGTTACCACTGGTATGTTCTATTGAAAATTTCATACATCACTAATACAGGGATATTGGTAAGTTGATAAGGTGGTTTTATTCAGCATAACATGACAAATACCTTTCATCTTGCCTTTATGTATGTAATACCCACACCCCAGGTTCTCCACATCGAAAAATATTACCATGGAGGAAGTTATGCAGAAGTTAAATGTGATTGAAAGTACAATTACATGTTCAACCTTCTAGTCTTCACCTCATCAATGGTTTATTTCACATATACATGTATATGTTTAATTACTGTTTCAGCAACAAAAATTGAAATTAAACAACAAAAATTGAAATTAAAAAATTAATATACAGAATTATATATTAGTGATGTCTAAATGCACTAAGTTTTATTAAAATCAGACCAAAATTGTAGAAGAATGAGTGTTTTGAATGAATTTCAAAGAATTTTGTCTTTAAATTTATTAACCATGGCAACAATTTTTGTTGAATTTGAATTAAGAAAAAAAAAACTTGATAACACAGAATATTAATTTTGTTTCTCGTAGTCATCATATTTTGTCATAGCTAATTTAAAGCTATATATGGCGTAGCTGAGCTAAAAAATAAAAATATGAGATTGAGTGTAGATAAACATGGTATATGTTATTTTAATAAGTTCAAATTAAAATTTTCGCCGATTTTGAACTTGAATAATCTCATCTTTCTATAGTTATATTGACTTTAAATTGTCTATTATTTAAATGCGGAGTTGGTAAATAAATCGGTTATTATTTTAAATTTCTAATATATTTGAAACGTTATTGATTTAAATTGTGTAATTTACAGGAAAGTAATCTTCATATAAAGTAATAAAACAAATAGAAAGATCTTTTTAATTTTAGCTTGTCTGAACTTATAAAAAATACGCCATATATGACTTTAAATGACACAAGTACCTTCATGGTCTTATACATATGATTTTTTTTCTTAAAATCTCCAATTCTTTTTCATTTTATTTTCAGAGTGACGAGTAACCAGTGATGGCTATTAATGATGATTATTGTGGTACAGTTATTGTATTGAATCTCCACATACGTATATGTTACTCTCTTGAATCTGCATATTTTACGAATCTCTTCTGGTTTGCATAACTTGTAAGACCAACCTGAACAATTATTTTAATTAATACACCAATTATTGTAAATTTTACGTTTTGTGTATTTTATTATTTATTTAAACTTGTAAATAAAGTAATTTCTTATTAAAATTCCTTCTTTATTTTTCATTACCAATACAACTTTATTTTGTCTCATTTTCTTAAAAAAAAATTAATTGTGATAGTGTGAATAAAGGTTTCAAATTTAATATAGATATATAAAAGGCAAATTTTGCAACATGGGAAGATTTTCAATATAGCAATAATTCCTAGGGTGGGAAGATTTATGGAACGCCATAACTGCCTTATGTGGTTATTTCATGAGAAGATGGTGCTTTATTATGTTATGCTGTGGTTATTTCATGTGAAGATGGTGCTTTATTATGTTATGCTGTGGATATTTCATGTGAAGGTGGTGCTTTTTTATGTTATGCTGTGGTTATTTTATGTGAAGATGGTGCTTTATTATGTTATGCTGTGGTTATTTCATGTGAAGATGGTGTTTTATTATGTTATGCTGTGGTTATTTCATGTGAAGGTGGTGCTTTATTATGTTATGCTGTGGTTATTTCATGTGAAGGTGGTTTTTCATGTGATGGTGGTTTTTCATGTGAAGGTGGTTTTTTATGTGAAGGTGGTTTTTCATGTGATGGTGAATTTTCATGTGAAGATGGTTTTTCATGTGATGGTGGTTTTTCATGTGAAGGTGGTTTTTCAAGTGTTGGTGCGTTTTTTTTATGTGAAGGTGGTTTTTTTATATATTTAATGTGATGTTGGTCACTCGGAACTCCTAATATTTTTGAAGACTGAGTTTAACACTGAGTTTAACTGCTATTATCTTGAAATTTTGAAAGTGAAACAAATAGTCAATGTAATTTAAATCATTTTACTACACCATTGCTAGTTCCTCTTTTTTCCATCTAGGCACTTGGGTTCAAAATGGTGTATTTTGTGTATTATGATTTTTTGTAGGTAGGTCTGAATACACTTAAAAACATTAAAATAAAAAATCACTGAAATTTGCACGTTTAAAAAGTGTCATATTAGTCTATATAGTAAGAGTGTAGGTACAACTGTTGCCATCTTCGGAAAATCTAGGGAAGTCAGAAACCGCGCCAAACTTGTTCTCGTTATTCCGGGACGCCTCTACAATTTATTTGGTTAAAAATCGTCACTTCCATTGCTTTCACTTTCAGTTCTAGGTATCACGACGTTTTTGTTTACTGCATATTTTATACGGCAAGTTCGAATTGGCAGTCGATTAAAAGGCGTTATTCAATCATTTTTAAATGTAGGTTTCATCCAAATTCCTGCCCGAAACTGGTAGGAAAAGTGTTGATATTGATAAATTAAAATCAAGTATGAACCGAGCCGGACTCGACGTAAAATCGAAGATTGCAACTGTCGTACCTTCACTCTTTTTTTATATAAAGTAATATGACATTTTTAAAACTTGCTTATTTCAGTGATTTTTTTATTCTTAGGTTATCGAGTTAATGCAGACATAGCTAGAAAAAACATAATACACAAAATACACCATCCTGAAACCAAGCGACTATGGAAAAAAGAGGAACTAACAATGGCGTATTAAAATGATTTAAATTATATTGACTATTTGTTTCACGTTCAAAATTTCAAGATAATAGCAGTTAAACTCAGTGTTAAACTCAGTCTTCAAAAGTATTAAGAGTTCCGAGTGACCACCATCACATTAAATATAAAAAAAAACACCTTCATTTAAAAAAAACACCATCACATGAAAAACCACCTTCACATGAAAATCCACCATCACATGAAAAACCACCTTCACATGAAAAAACACCTTCACATGAAAAATCACCTTCACATGAAAAAACACCTTCACATGAAAAATCACCTTCACATGAAAAACCACCTTCACATGAAAAACCACCATCACATGAAATAACCACAGCATAACATAATAAAGCACCATCTTCACATGAAATAACCACAGCATAACATAATAAAGCACCATCTTCACATGAAATAACCACAGCATAACATAATTAAGCACCACCTTCACATGAAATAACCACAGCATAACATAATAAAGCACCACCTTCACATGAAACAACCACAGCATAACATAATTAAGCACCATCTTCACATGAAATAACCACAGCATAACATAATAAAGCACCATCTTCTCATGAAATAACCACATAAGGCAGCTATGGCGTTCCATAAAGATTCCCCATATTGCAAATAATATGGGGAAACAAGAGGCCCATTGGCCACAACACTTACCCCAGTAACTAGGGCCTTTCTGATCTTCAGCAGCAGATTTTTTCCCCTATAATTCATATTGTGGCCCCACCTTACCCAAGGGGTCATGATTTGAACAAACTTGAATCTACATTACATGAGGATGCTTCCATATAACTATTGACAAATTATGGCTAATTGCTGCCCTTGAGAGAATGTTTTAAAAGGATTTTTCCTATTTATTCCTATGCCCATTGTGGCCCCACCCAATCCCCAGGGGTCATGATTTGAACAAACTTGAATCTTCAATACCTGCAAATGCTTACCTATTAATATGACTAATCATGGCTTCGCTGTTCCTGGGAAAAAGAATTTTCCTTTGATGTATATTCCTATGTAAAACTTTAATTGCCCTTTGTGACCCCACCCTATCTTCAGGGGGTGGGGTTCAGGATTTAAAAAAACTTGAATCTACACTATTTGAGGACACTTCCTTCTAAATATTTTTTTCAGATGATTTATTACATCAGAATCAGCAGATGAGCTACTGTATTGTCTTGAGTCATTGGAAAGATACTGTTGTGACTGGAAGTTAAAATTTAAAACTAATCGTAATTAATGCTATGGTATTTTCTAGAAAGAACTTAAAAAAAATTGAATTGTAAAACAATGAGGTATAAAGAAAATGTTATAATTAATTTTGTTAATGAGTATAATTATTTTGGTGTTGTCCTAAAAAACAATATGGTAAATTGAAATATGCATTTGAGAATTTAGCAGGTAGAGTAAGGAAGGCATATTTTACAATCAAGTCAGAGGTACTAAATAATCTCAGCCTCATTGGAATGGATAAATTTCAGATACAAGAATCATGCATTGTACCAATTTTGACTTTTGCTTCGGAAAGGAGATGGGCGAACATAGCGTGCAGAAAGCCTATAGTGTGACAAACATGAAGATGAAAAATTAAATGTCAATTATATCAAAATTTTCCTTGATATTTCGTCTAACATTAAAATATACTTTATGTAAAATCTCTACAATTTGCAAAAATCCCTCAAAGATTGAAATTATTTGCCTATGAAATATTATATACACACTAAAGCGGGCAAAAAGAGCCATTTTCTCGTAATATAACATAATTTTTCGATATGTGTGGGTCTTCGCTCCACTTTTTTGAAAGTTAATCCTCAAAGTTTGCATAAAAATATACATTTTTTGGTCACCAAAAATATGGAGCAATGACCCACTATACCTTAAAAATATACTTTTATGACATAACATTGAATCGCATCTTTTCGAGAAATACTTGAAGTCCATTGAGTCAAGGGTCATATCACAAACACGATTTAAATGCCAATCTTCATCAGGACTTGTGTAGTCTTGTGGTTAGCGTGCTAGTCTCGAAAGAAAATGATACTCAGGGTTTTTATTGCCAGGGTTCGAACCCCACGAATACCACATTATTTTTTAAAATAAAAAAATAAATTTTGCCGAGAAAATTTTCCTCAGAAAAGTTTTGTTTATCATAATTTCATAAATATCAATAATGAGAACTCTACTCTAAATACTAAATTCACTAATTGAACATGATTTTTGTATATCTGAAGCTATAGGCTTTCTGCACGCTATGTTCGCCCATCTCCTTTAGAAAAGTGATTTTAAACAAACGACAAAAGACTGGCAAAACTCCATTAGAAAAAAAAATCAAAATTTCTTTGGAAAAACAATTTAGATGTTCATAATAAATCTTTTAATTTAGCAGTTTAAGAGTAGAGTTTGGTGCTTTTCACATTATGTTCAGAATACATGTATATAAATTCAAATTATAATAGGAAAATTATTACAGTTTACAGAAAATTGTTTCAAATCAGGAGAACTCAAACTTGCTTTTAAAACATGCATATTTAGCAGAGGGAAAACTTTCAGGAAATGGAAAAACTTGTTGGCAAAATTGTATACAAAGAATACTTGACGATGTTCTAGATTCAAAAGCTAATACAGTGTCTATAAATGATTTTGAAAATAATTTCTAAAAAGGTTTCGAGAATATAGTAGTTGTCAGAGGGATTGAATCTATCAAAGAAAAAGGTAATGGAAAATTGTCATTCTACAGCCAATTAATAAGTTCACAAAATCTAAACAAACTGTAAACTCAACCGTTTTTAAATTTTTCCTTTTCTTTCTTTACTCAAGTGCCCACAAATTACAGACAGATGGCAGACATTGTAATCCAATTACATGTATTCCAAGGGATGAAAGATACTGTACTAACTGTCATACTGTTGTTGAAGATGAACATGTATGTCCTCTTTGTAACACTCTGCGAAGTGAATATTGTACTCTTTTTAACAATACATGTATAATTTTGTATATCCTATAAAATCCTTAATACAGCAGATGTGAAATCACCAAGAAATATTTGTAACTTTAACATAAGAAAATCTATGTGACTTTATTTGTATAGTGTAATATGTATGGCTTGAGCCACATCTGGTTTTTGTCAATAAATTGAAAAAATATGACTGATCATGGCTATGCTGTTCGTGAGAAAAAAGATTTTTCCAATAAATTAATATTCCCATGTAAAACTTTAATCGCCAAGTGACCCCACCCATACCCCAGGAGTCATGCTTTGAATAAATTCTTCCAATAATCATATAACCCTGAATAGGAAAGACCTGTGCGGTATCTGGGATGCGTTCGAATCGTAGCCGGTCTATATATTTATGTTACCACTTTGCAACAAAATGAAATCTTTATTTGCACTTAAAATTTTGCTTAACTTCGCCAATAACTTTGTTCCGAAAATTAATTACAACTAAAAAATTTGTTGTATCGAAAAAACCTGACACCAAGAAGCTTGTTGAGTTGTCCCTTCAAGATCTCTCTCTCTCTCTCTCTTTGTAAGAGGCTATAGGTTTGCCATTGCGATGGTAAATAAACGCTCGTTCTTTTTTTAAAGCATATTTAATTTGTGTTGCATGTATGATTCAGTAATATTTTAGATAATGTGTATTAAAATGTGTTTAAAAGGAAAACAAGGCTCTGCGACATTTTCCAGTGAACTTTTCCAAAATCATTACTTTTATTAGGGTATAGCGTAATACTAATCTTTAGCATTTTTAGTAAACATGTATTCCATTTCAAGCAGCAATTTTAGCAATACATGGGCTCGAGACCTTTTTCTCTTACAACAACTATCAGTAATATTTTACGAAGTCAGTATAAAAATGGGTAATCATATTGTGCAATTTCATTGTGAAAATTATCTCATACAATTTTGTACACAAAATACACATCTAAAACACGCATGAAGTTGCACAATTCAGGGATGATTGAAATGAAACCGATGCCGACTAAAATTTGGTAGGACTTCCTTCTAAAGAGTTCCCGTGCCGAAATAATTAACTTTTTAAAAAACTTTATTTTCTTTTTATTCCAATATAAGTTGTCCTATAATATTTTTCATCATTTGAAATGATATACATGAAGTTAACAAACGGCGATCATAGTCGATCTAAATATAATAATTATAAATTAAAGTAAATAAATAAATAAATAAAGATAAAAAAAAATAATATAATTTTGTGAGCAGGGCATCCAGTATCCAGTATAAGTAGGGTAGATCGAATTCACTTTCATTGACTGGAATGTTAAAAGTATTAAGGACTAAAGTGTGATTTTGAATAATTCGTGCATGAACCCCCCTCTATTGTTGATTTCTTGGCCCATGTTTTGTGAGAAATACAGAGTATCATATTATAGCAGTTATCAATGGTGACTCGGGTTAGCGTTGAGTTCTATGGGCCTCTTGTTTAAAAAAAATTGTGAAATTTCTCAGCTTCTGAATTTGAAAATATTTAATCTTAGAATTATGACATATAAAATGTTTTAGTTACAATTGCAATTTGTTGTGAGGTCTAAAGGTAAAAGCTAAGGCATTTATAAATATTAAAATTATATGATAATGTCTATATTGAAGGCACATGTAAAGCTACAAACTAATGTTTTACTCTTGTGCAATATTTTTAATATATTTGTTTCTTAGTAGTGATAAAATCAATAGAAGAGAATGTTTAGGTTATGAAAGAAAATGTTGTTTTGGTCCAATCAGATTGGGGGCGAATATACCGAATGGATAAATCCGAGATATTCCGAACATCGTGAAAAATTCCGAAAGGCAAGGGTAGCCCGGATGTGAACGTCATAGAGAAAAAAAATCCCAGCCACAACAAAGATTGTGGCGAAAATTATACATCAAAAGTGCTCCAATTTCCTAACTGTGATAAACTTAATTTTGTCTGATTATTAAGAATATGACTACACCTGCCAGACGACGATTAATGAGAGATTTTAAGAGGTATATTGGGACATATTGGTAGTGTTTTGACTTCCTTACTGAACATTTTCCAAGATGGCCTCTGATGCTATTAATATGCGTCACTAATATATTTTTTCTATATTTTATTTAAGACTTCAAGAAGATCCTCCTGCTGGTGTTAGTGGTGCCCCGACAGAAAATAATATTATGCTATGGAATGCTGTGATATTTGGGTAAAAATTCACATAATTATCATCATAGTGCGCCTTTTGAGCTTTTCTTATGGTTTGTTGGGTACAAAAAATCCACTGAAAATCAAACGTAGTGAAAATATCATAAGGTTGGTATATGAACATAGTATAACTTTCAGGTGGAACATCCCTTTTTGGGAGAGCCATATAGGTCACTGACAGTGACAGTTTTACTGACCCACAATAAAATCTAAGGATCCACAACAAACTAAATTAACCAAATAAATGTCTATTCAGTATTGGTCAGAAATGTATTTTTGCCTCACTACACAGATGGTAATTGTAGTACGTTTTGTTTTAGTAGCCCGCTAAAATTTTATTTGCTAAATTTGCACATTTGCATATATAGGTGCTAAATGCAAAAAAAAAAAAAAAAAAACCCCATTGATCTGTCTGTTATTAAATACTGTAGCTTTTATCCTGTTCTGGTTTTTACTCAGACTCTTGCCTAAATCTGTAATTACTTATTTTACTGAAAGAAAAACTTCCTCTCGTTTGCAACAATATGGAACTCTTTGTCCACAAAAAAGTTCTATCAAAATTAATGGCATACCTTTGAGGAAGTAAAATGCCAAATTTTACATGCCCTAAAGAAACCCACTGTATGATATATTGCATAATAAAATGCTTGCTTTTTCAAATGTGATATCAATTTTTTGTGCAATACACTGCCTAAATCACCATATAGGTGGCAGACTTCTTTGACATACCCATTGAAGTAAAATTTAATACATTGTTGAAAGATTGGGTGACTATTGCAACTTAGATTAAAGTATTGAGTTTCTGGGGTGGTGTTAATGTAGTCATCAAACAAAACGTTTGTTAAGTCCAAACCCATGAAATGGTGGTTAGATCAAAACAGTGTTAGAAGAGGGCTTTTTTCTTAGACAGTGTTTGATTATTAGAGTCAACAAATCTAAATTAATGAGGAAGATGAACAGTAGTCATGCTCAAAAGGCCATTGAAACAATACAAATTGTAAGCAAAGCAAACACAGTCCTATAAAAAAAAAATCGGGAGGTGGGATTAGGTGCCAAGGAGGAGTAAGAAGCTCCTCTCAACCAGTCAAACCCACAGTGTGTTCTTTGTCATGATTGGGTAATTGGAGAAACCACAGAAATCATTCTGTAAAAGTACATTGTCCTAATTTTGATGTTCTCATAGTAATTTCCTCTAAATTAAAGGCATTTTTCCAATATAAGTTGAATGAAAAATGAGTTTTTTCTGAATTTGTATGACTGCATGTTGATTTTTAAGGGGGGGGGGGGGGGTAATTTATAGGTGACTAATGTACACAAAATTAACAGCATTCTTTCTCATTGTATTGATATAACTAAATCTTAAATGGTAAGAGATGGTAAATACTTGTATAAAAAACTGAGGGCATGCTTTTTTTTCTCTGTGGTTATATTGAAGTTTTTTTGTTTTGTTTTGTAGACCACATGATACCCCATTTGAAGATGGCACTTTCAAATTAACAATAGAATTTACAGAAGAATATCCAAATAAACCCCCAACAGTGCGATTTGTTTCAAAAATGTTTCATCCTAATGGTAAGTACACAATTTAAAATTCTTGGTCTTGTTCAAATGAAAACGGAGAATAAATTCATGTATCAATAATGTCCAGTGGAATTTAAATTGTGCTTCACATTCTGTGTGATATATCAATTATTGACTAAAGGTGGTTTTTATCAGTTTTATATATAGAATATCTCTGCATAAACAAAGATCTGGGAAAGATTTACATTAGTCATATATATAAACTGTATTGTCTTTACATTTTAGTTTATGCAGATGGAAGTATATGTCTAGATATATTACAAAATCGATGGAGTCCCACATATGATGCTTCTGCTATTTTAACTTCTATTCAAGTAAGTATATAAGCTTAGGAATTTATTTTTTCAGAGTTGAATCTTTAATGGCATATGAATATGTAAACCATTTTCTGTGGTTTATGAACAAGTTATTTTTTAACAAAAATTATAAGTAAAATTTGCATAAAACATTGCAGGATATATAATTAGAAGAAAAACTACAAAATTTGGAAGTCTGTAATAAAAAATTATCTTGTTTATACATGTAGTAATCTTTGTTTGGAGACTTCTTTGTTTTAAAAAATGCTAGCTCAAAAGGTAGCTGAAAAATGCCATTCTGTTTGTAGTCTCTTCTTCATGACCCAAATCCCAATAGCCCTGCTAATAATGAGGCGGCTCAGTTATATAGGGAAAATAGGCGAGAGTATGAGAAAAAAGTTCAGTGCATTGTACAGGAGAGCTGGAAAGATGATTCCGATGATGATGATGAAAATGACGATGATGGGGTTGATGATGAAGATGAGGAGATGAAGTCTTAGCAAACACCGATTCTTTACCTTACATTTGCATCCATACTTGTGTGAAAATTATTTCTTGTAATATCTTGTCAATTGTACTTTTTATTTATATTTACACAGATCATGTCAGTAATTGAATTCAGGACTGTAAATCTCATTTTTAGGAAGATTTGTATACTGTCGGTATATATATTTCAAATATTGTTGGGTTGTTTATTGCTAGCTTTTTCCCCTCATCATCATTATCATACCAAACACATCCTGCAACATTTTAACTTTTAATATCCGAGACTTGTGCATTTTTTATTGATGAACATTTTTGGATGGCAAGGAAGTTTATTGTCATCTGTGTGAAATGCTTTCTGTGCTACTAATTTATGCACTGATTTAATTTGAATTTGGGACTTTTTCATTGGAAGTAAATTTCTTTGTTTCATAATATTTAATGTTTTTGAAGTAGTTGTATTTTTCATGCATGTTGCTAGCTTGCAGGATGATTCCTACTTTATGCATTGTTTTTGTTTTCAATGTTATGATTTGCTCTGGATTTTTCAGTCCTTACTGGATGAACCTAACCCAAACAGTCCCGCAAATAATGTAGCAGCCCAGTTATATAAAGAAAATCGTCGTGAATATGAAAAAAGAGTAAAGGTTGTGGTTGAGGAAAGCTGGATTTATCATGGTGATATTGAATGAATATTGTGTGCGTGTTCACAGAATACCAAAACCTTTATGTTTTAGCTTTGTATTTTGTTACATGATATTGTTCAAAAAAGCAAACTTCAAGTGTTAATGGGGTAGAATGAGAAGTATGTAAAATTGGAGTTTGATATCCAGCTGAATTTCAAGTGAAAAATTGATTTTTAAAATAACTGGGAGACATTAACTATATATTCTTTTGATAACATTTTAATGAAAATTTCTAGCATACATGTATTCTATCACTGAATTTTATTTTATATGAAAGGCCAATTACATGTATAACCATTGTTTCTGAATATCTGTAGTTTTCAAAAATCTTGGTTTGTAAGTTTGAAATGTATACTGCTACTTAATCGTGATACCTAGAAAATCTGTGTTTGCTCGTAAGATGTCTTTCATGTGTCTATTAAGACAATACTATCATTGTCTGACATTAAATTGTATGTTTGGCCATCTCATAGATTTTTTACTGTCAAGGAAAGTAACTTGAATACAATGTATTGTTGAGATTGATTGTACTGAGCATCAAGTGTTCTTGCTGCACTTGTGTGTACCCTACAGGTGCATTTTTATGTGTAGATCAAAGTTTGTTGTTAAGTCATAAAGATGAAATATATTTGAAGAACAGTGATATTGTGTTATGTACTTCTTTACCTAGGATGCAATCTCCTGCACATTTATTTCTTGTACATGTGGCCGTTCATGTACATGTACTTTAGATCAATGAAGCAGATTATGATTGGGTCTGGGACATTTTGCTGGTGTACCCTTATGGAGGCTGTTAGTCATTTCAGTATCTAAAGCCAATCAGTATTTCTCTAATGTGTCTCTAAAGTGCTTTTCATATGTAAAACATCAATTTTCAATGATTGATAAAAGTGCCATTTTTAAAGAAGTACCAGTAATATAATTTTATTTAAGACAAAGTTGCACTGATAACTTGAAATATATTACTTTATTTTCAGTCATATCAGTATTTCTCCTATTTGTTTCAAGTAAATATACTACAAAGCTAAAAGAACTAAATACTGTATTGGAAGATTTTTGGTGCCATGTTTACAACTGGTACTATATATGAATGCAAATGCACGTACTATAACGTAAAAATAAAGGTCTAGAATTCACTTGCAGAAACTTTTTTCAACATTTCTTAAATTTTGAAGTACTTCTGTTCAAATGTCAATTAAATTTGTCTAAAAGTAGCATTGTCTCTTATCAATGGGAAATAATGGAGTAAACTTTTTGTAGGTATAGCTATTGAAAAGAATATCCGAAAATGCTTGATATTAATTTGAAAAAAAATTATGGAAGCTTTTTAATGAAGTATTTATTCAAACAAGGGTCCCCAGGTCCATGTTGTTAATCCACTGGTCCAGCCCAAGGCCTCAGTTTTGTAAACATAGAGAAAATCCACCCCAAGAATTATGTGAAAATTGATTCAATAGTTAGAGAAGCTGAAAATGAAAAAGTAAACATTGAGAATGTATATGGGTTTTGAACATGCATAATCGATGAAGGTGATGTGATACTTTTCATCCATGCATTTTTTCTTTAGGCATGTATGTCTTGATACTTTTCACTCGGACATGTCTCTAGCTGCAGAACTGTAGCTCGCTGGTCAAGAAAATTCGGACACACGTTTTCTGTCTGAATTTTCTCAACCAGAGAGCTACATTTCTGCATCTCAAACTCGATGGGATGCAGAAAAAACTGAGAGATATCCGAGAATTCAAGATATCACTTAAAGAATAAGTGGTTGGGACTTCCAGATCACTTTGACATGGTATTTGAGATATCTGTGTTCGAGATACCAAAGTTCAACTTTACTAATAATCATCAGTTGGTATCTCAAGATGTGATTTAGGAATTCTCTCAAAGGAATTTTATATAATAACATACTTCATTTGAACTTGAAAGCTCTGGAAGACAGTGATAGCAAAAGTCACCCAAGAGACAAAGTTATCCTATTTGGGCACAATCAAATCGGTAACCACAGATTCATGATATAGCTGAAATTTGGTTTGGATACCTTTTGTTGAAAGTGATAAAAATTTAAGTTTAACCCTGTCTAAAGGCATATTGACAGACTTGGTTGGGACACATAGCTAGACTTCAAATTCTTAAGTACATGAATTTCTTTGTAAATGACATATTAGCCAATCAGAATTCACATCATTTGCATGCTTTATGAATGACTTCAAACGAGTGGAAATGAAATAAATTTTAAAGAGAGTTTGTGCATGATTCTACAAGGAGTTGCTTGTACATGTACATTGTATATTAAAATGACTATAATTATGTTCCTGCTCTTTCTTGACCATTTGAAAAAAAAAAAATTAATATGCATGTGTAAAAAAAAAAATGTACAAGTGCCTCATACATCACACGTTTTATTGCCTAAATTACCTAATACATAAAACTCAATCATGTTTGGTGATAAACTTGAAGAATTGAAACACATCTACTTAAATCAAAGAGCAGACAAGTTGAAGTTAATTTTTTGAGGTGTTCTACATTTTGTGTTAAAGTTCATAAAAGTTGATATTTTACCTCCATATTGTATTTAGTTACACAATATACAGATTTATTATATTTTCAACAGTGAAATACTGTAATTTATTAATTAAACAAAAGTGATATTTTGTCATGGCATTGAATAAAAGTGATATTTTGTCACAATATTGAATAAAAGTGATATTTTGTCACAATATTGAATAAAAGTGATATTTTTTCATGGTGTGAAAAAATATCAAAATGATATTCTGTCACAGTGTGAAAGAATATCAGAAGTGCAGCAAAACTCTCAATTTTCCTTCCATTCCATTCATGAAGAGTGTTGTAAAAATACTCCCTTACAGGTCTGTTTTAAGATAGAGTAAGTAAACTATCTTGACAGTGACTATAAACTGCCAAAGTTTCTCCAAACATGTTGTTGAAAATGTTTTTTACAATGTTCTCAATCTCACAAACACTAAGCTCAACTATGACATCACAACCTATGACAATATGTTGCTAATAGACATAGGCAAAGGGAAAATGAAAGAAAATGTAATAAACAAGAAAGTCAATGTTTTGTAGATGCATATTGGATTTATTTTACTTGTGATGTTGGCTTCGCATTCTTGAACATATAAAAAAATCCCGTCTTACTCATGAAATAAATTTCCATAGCCAACTACAAAACATTGAATGTCCTCTCAATAGATCATTAAAGCTGAATATGCTTTCGTAAAAGGAATTTGTCAGCCATATTCAATTATTCACTCACTATATCTAAAGGCCCTATATAAAGCTGCTCACTTAGTCACTGTTCAGTGTAATCAGTCGTCACCGGTGTAGACGGACACATGCTACACAACACTCGTTGTACTTCTTCTAATGCAGGGAGAGTAAGATACCGAAGAAACGTACAACAGTTGCACAGGGCAGTGCAGTGTACAAACAAATACAAATACACCTAATGGCACTAAAATGTAAACAAAGGTAACGCAAGATAACCACGTGTCACCACTCCACGCCGATACCTGTGACAATATAGCAGTCAGGTGTAACGAATGCGAAGGGTATACTCCGGTGCTGATATCGTAGATAGTATAATAGAATATGGCGTACATCTATTTACAAGTTGTGTTCAGCTTTAATATGCTGCCCATTCACAAATTGTATGATACTACAACAGTTAACAAATGCCAGAATAATTTCTGATTCTAGTGACTCATCTTTGTTTATTGTTTATTTTTTAAAATAATGAATTAAAATCATTGCACCATTATTTCTGGAATAATAAACAGTTCACTTGTCCGTACAAATGTTCTTATTCACTGCTTCCAATCCAGTTAAAATTGCAGAGTGTTTGTTCCTAATTTTTGAGTGAAAATCCAACCTCTCTGGCTTGGAAAAACATATGTGTAATAGAAAACAACACACAATGGTAGAAGTTCCATACTTAAGAAGTTCAATACTTTAATACACAATTTGTAAACTTTCTTGGTTCCCTGTTCCTTTTAGCAATCCATTGAAAAGTATGGGCTGTGTTCAGCTTGGTCAACAAAGTTGGCTACATGTATTTTTGAATTACTTGTTTGATATGTTTCATTGTTTTAGATAACCTTGGGCCTTTGAGGTAGACACATGTTGTAATGAGCTGTCTTGTCCCAGAAATCCATCCCTTTCCAACCACACCAGCCCTGATAAAATCAGCAGAAAACTTGGTTTACAAAATTCTTTTGCTAAAAAATTATTGCAAATAAAAATTTCTAGATATTGAAATATGTTCTTTACTGCAACAGCTATTTTTTTTTTTTTACAGAAGAACAAAAAGACATGTTTGTAAAACATTGATGGCCTTGTATCAGAGCTCAAAGCCAAGGTTTAAAGTTTTTTAAATGTAGGTCAAACTCAAAGGTCAAGAGGTCTAAAATATTAGTACCCAAATAAAGGTCTTCTCATAAGGAATATACATGCCAAATATAAAAGCCCATATCACCAATCATCCAGGGCTAAAATTTTCTTACTCCAAGGTCAGGGTCATTAGGTAAAAAATATTGGTACTCAAAGAAAGGTCTTGTCACAAGGATTGCACAAGTGAAATGTGAAAGCCCTAGCACTAACCGTTCAAAATTTATAGGCAGGGTTAAAAGTTTTTCAAATGTAGGTCAACTCCAGGGTCATGGGTTCAAAAATGTTGATAACCAAAGAAAGGTCTTTTCACAAGAAACACACATTCGAAATATGAAAGGCCTTGCACCAACCATTCAAAGGTTATAGGCAAGGTTAAAGTTTTTCATCAGTAGGTCAAACTCCAAGGTCAAGGTAGAAACATAAAAATTGTGGGTACCCAAAGAAAGGTCTTGTCATGGAAAACACATATAAAATATAACAGCCCTAGCAGCAACCATTCAAAAGTTATTGCCAAGGTTAGTTTGGTAAAATTTTGCAAAAGTAGGTCAAACTACAAGGTCAAAAGGTCATATATGTTGGTTCTCAAAAAGAAAGGTCACAAGGATACACATGTGAAATATATTAGGCACCAACCATTTCAAAGTTATGAGCATGGTTAAAAGTTTTTGCGAACACAAACAGATGGACAGACCAAAAACTATTTGAATCTTCCATTACGGGGGTATAAAAATGACATCAGTACACTTCATATATACCAGATTTATACTTTTGCTCAAGTTCTATTCATCCATTAATTTACTGGGTATACATATGTTACAATTTTCAGCTGTTTACCTTGTCCAAAATGACTTTTAAATCCTCTGCTCCAGTGTAGTGAGGGTCAAGTATTAGGAATTTGACATCCCCTGTCACCTCATTAAAGTCTACACCTAGAATTGTGTGTGCCAATACTCCTCCACCTGTAAAACATCAAAAACTTCAAAACTTGTCAGGTAGGATTCTTTCAATGCCCTTTATTCAATAATCATTCCAATAACAGCATGTCAGTTCACTTGATTGAGCATGAAAAAACTTCATCAATCGATTTTCATATTACTCATTGACATGAAATGAATACTATTTTGCATATGAAACAGAAATCCTAGCAATACCACTAACAGTGCAGACAAATCATATTGAATGATTGTGTATGAGTATGCTGTAAACAACACTTACAAGAGGTCAGTCAAAACCTATTTTATATCAAATGTCTCATTGTAACTGATATAGTGAACTCCTGCATGTTTTTCCCTTTAAACATTATATAGGAGGAAAGAACCTTCTAAAGATTTAGATTTATTACTATAATTTTGATAAATACTTCAAAGTAATTAGTGTTTCTTTAATTGGATATGGAGAACATCAATTAAAATATATCAAATAACCAGTTTTAGCTTTAAATGCAAATGAGCACCTATATACTAGAAACAGCGTTTCTTGTAAATTTTCTTATATTACCTCCACCTGGTCAATTCACAATATGACGTCTTGACTGATCATGTGTTGCGGCTTACTATGTACAAATGCCGTCCTTGTAAACAACCATTCAATGTGATTGGTCAGTTTTATCAGTAGTATTGTTGGGTTCTGTGTTTCATATGCAATTATGCATTTCATAGAACCAAACATCCATTGAATCGATGAGAATTTATGGTAATCAATTTATGAAATTTTAGCACGCTTGATGTAGGGAACTGACACGCTGTTATTGGAATGACACTAATCAGGAGATACATGTAACTGATGACTGCGATACTATTCAGAAGCTACCTGATGACTGCAATAAACTTGTTAAGATTGATACAACCACACACTGGGAGAAAGTATCTTTTCAATATTTACTGGTATTACTGGTACCGGTACATGTACTTGTGTATCAGTACATGTATTATATTGTACAGAGAAAAACGCATACCTATCATTATAGGAGTTCCCTGAACCTGGAAGTGCTGTGCCAATTCTCTCCCCTTCGTTGCTAGTTCACTTCCCTCACTAACAAAGACAATGCGAGATGTAACCTGAAGAAAATATTTAAGTAACATTGACTGAATATTAACATAAGCATTTTGCATATTTTGATTAGGTAATGTAGATAAATATGGTTGATGTATAACAAAAATAATTTCTTAAAAAAACTTTCATTAATTTTGACACTACATTGAGATAAAATGTGTTATATGACTATGTTGGCTATCAAAGGTTTCAAGAATGTGATTTTTTTATCATGTATATTGTAGACTTCAATGGCTAAAAGGGACATCCTTCTGAAATAAAGATAACACTTGCTGCAGGACCAAGTTTTCTTTTTCTTTTTGCATGATACCTGTTTTAATTCTACTGATTCCTAAATTAATTTCTTTGAAAGGTTTGATCAATTCATTGATTGTGGTTTTACAAATGTACGTCTCTTGTGAGATTTTTTTCACTCATATGAGATTTCACCAGATACTGGTTTACGGCTTCAACTGTAGATCTTCACTTGACACTCAGGGCCATTGAGCAGTGAAGGTTCTTTAGCATGCCAGTGCCAGCTGTGTGATATGGGGCTTCAGTTTTTAAGGTCCCATCCAAAAGTCCCACAACTTCCACTTCAATGGTACTGAAGGCTAAGCCAAGAAACAGCTACCATCTATTTTTTAAAGACTTAGATTTGTCACAGCCAGGGCATGAACCCACAACCTTCTTACTTCAGAGCAAGCTCTATACAGACTGAGCTCCAGTGAAAGTTTCTGTGAAAAGTATTCTACCCATACTCATGCATTCTATACTTCACATTCTAAAAAAACAATACCCAATGTTCAATAATTACTGCAGAGTTAGATAAAAAGTGCAAATTTCTTGATCAGAATGAGAAACTAGATACTGACCCCAATTAAATGGTCAAGACAGTAGCTGACCTCCATAGAACCAATCCATTGCCGAGATCCCACAAACTTTGGCTCCTTATCCCCCACATCAACTAATGCCTGATATTTAAATAAAATAAATTATAAAACAAGAGGCCCAAGGGCCTTAACGGTCACCTGAGTATAATACAACAATTTAGAAGTTAAATACACTGATAGATGAAGCTTTGTTGCCCTAAAGCAAGAGAAGTAGGAAGATCAGGATCAACAAAATAATTAGTCTAGTATTCAGTATCAACTCATAAATTAAGTTCAATCTGTCCCCCACTTAACACTATCACCATGCAGACTATTAACAAACTATTAGTGCTTCTGTACTATTTTTAAACCCATATTAAAACCTCTAGCATTGACCTCTCTTATGGTCTTTGAAGAACTTTTAATAAGATAAGTTATTTTTGTCTCATTTTTATTTATCTATTACTTACAGGTCTACCTGATTATTAAAACTAAGAAAGTACTTTTTGAATTATACAATAAACATTCTTGCATAATTATCTTATTCTATTAACCTTTCAAATACATTATTTACAGTGATTAATTATCAAAGGTGAATGGAAAAGGGGAATAACTTCTCTCAGTAGAATACAAATTAATAGAGCCCTGCCCAGGACCAGAATGCTTAGACAAATGGTCCAGATGTTCAAAAATCTGGTAGGAATACGCTTACTTATATCATTTAAACTTTTACTCAGTTTGCTTCCGATATGCCCAGAAGCAGAGAAGAATTTCACAGGTACAATGCATTTTCACTACAGATTCAACAAAGCCTTACCCTAACACCAGAACCCAAGACCAAGGGTCAAGAAATTTACAAATTTGGAAGAGTTACCCTCATCATCATAACTATGGATTTTAAAGAATTTAAACTTTTCTACTATATTATCAAAAGCCCCCCCCCCCCCCCCCCCTCGTTATGCCAGAACCCCTGACCCTAGGACCACAAGATTTAAAAATTCTGTTCGAAGCTCCCATTTTCATCATAGCTAAGCAATTTATTTATCAGCTCAACACTAAGGAGCAGACAGGGTTAATCAATGATTAATTAATAGAATTAATGATTTTTCAGTATATAATCAATAGAGCCCCCCCCCCCCCCCCCCTCAAGAACCCCAAAAACTGAGGCCAAATATTCAAAAATTTTAAGAGGCATCTTTGCCTATCATAATTATGCACTTACATGTAGTTTGTTTAAATAATCTCCAGTAGCAGAGAAGAAGATTTTCAAAGAATCAATGCATTTTCACTATATAATCAATAGAGCCCCGCCCTAACACCAGAACCCCTGACCCTGGGTCCATGAAATTCAAAATTTTGGTAGAAGCACTCTTGCTCATCATAACTATGTACTTAGGTACTTTATTTAATATTCAGGAGCAGAGAAGAAGATTTTCAAAGAATTAATGCATTTTCATTATATAATCAATAGAGCCCCGCCCTTACACCAGAACCCCTGACCCTGGGGCCATGAATTTCACAATTTTGGAAGAGGCACTCTTGCTCATCATAACTATGTACTTAGTTACTTTATTTAATACCCAGGAGCAGAGAAGAAGATTTTCAAAGAATTAATGCATTTTCACTATATAATCAATACAGCCCCGCCCTAACACCAGAACCCCTGACCCTGGGGCCATGAATTTCACAATTTTGGAAGAGGCACTCTTGCTCTTCATAACTATGTACTTAGTTACTTTATTCAATATCCAGGAGCAGAGAAGAAGATTTTCAAAGAAATAATGCACTTTCACTATATGATCTATATAGCCCCATCCTGGGGCCAGAACCCCTGACCCTGGGGCCATGAATTTCACAATTTTGGTAGAGGGCTCAATGCTTATTACAATGATGCCAACAGTTTGACTGCTTGATGTACAGGAGTAAAGAACAAGATTTTTAAAGATTGCATTATTTTTGGTGGTTTTAGCCCCACCCCTCAGGCCCCAGGGGGGCAGGGACCATGAAATTCACAATTTTTGTTCCCCTTCACCCATAGATGCTATATGCCAAATTTGGTTGAAATTGGTTGAGCGGTTTCAGAGAAGAAGCTGAAAATGTTCAAAAGTTAACGCACATCGCACGATGCATGACCCACGACGACGGACAAAAACGGATAGCAATAGGTCACCTGAGTGACTCAGGTGACCTAAAAAGAACAAAATAAACACACCTTATTTTGTTTCATTATACATAATGAAGAATATTACTCAATCTATAAGTACTTGTAAATAGAATGCATACCTGCTGTATCTCTCGGTGAGTTGGAATAGGTTTATCTGTGTAACCTTGAAATCGGAACCAAGAGACTAGGGTTTGGAGAGATCTATAGGCACAGCCCCACATGTTGTCATCAAAGCGATCCTGCATGTAATGGTGATAGCTGTATAGACCTTGAACCAAAGACTGCTGTCCACCCTTCACTATAATAAATCATCAAATAAAGTGCCCCGCCACAGCATGATACGCCTATCAAATATTATGCCGCAAAACAGGCATGGGCATTAATTGACTTGTCTTATCCCCCCCAGATTCTTTATTTTTTTTAATTCATTAAAATTTATTTTGAAATTTAATTACAATTTAGCTAAGCTAGTGCTGCCTAATAAAACATCAAAATATTAATCATTATATTGTTTTTTTATTAGATTGTAAAACTTAATGGATTGCAACCATCTTTCATATTTGTGAGACATGATGCTCTGAAATCTGTTTGTTGATATTTAAAAAAAAAAAATTAAATAAAAATATCATATTAAACAATATCAAATTAGTCTTAACAACTTAATCTATACCAAATTAATTTTGAAAGTGCCATCAAGTGACATAATTTGCTATCAACTACAATTAAGAAAGAGACCAGCAGTTCTGCCTAATTCCCAAAGGATACAGATAAGAGCTGCTTGATCAGAGATGCTCTAACAGAAGTGATTGAGACAGCTAGCCTTCCTACATTGAACACATTAATTAATCTTTAACTGGATGCATGTCCACTCATTACTCCCAAGGGACGAATGGATCTGCACTTTCTGCTTTGTAGTAACAACAAAAATGCATAGTTATGTCATTCTGTTGAAAACAAATATTTTTTTTTAAATTTGTTACAAAGATTTATAAAATGAAAAAAAAAGTATAATCTTGTTGCAACATTTTTAATAAGTCTACTGCATGACTCTTAGATTTGTAGATACTATCTACCATAAAGCATTTTTTTAATACTTTGTGATTTTTTTGAATTTTAATGACTGGTTTTAAGCTGCAATTCATATGGACACACTGAATCCAATATACATCCCCCCCCCCCCCCCCCGGTATAATTAGTTTTAATTATATTATAAAATATCAATTTAGTTTTAATTATATTATACTCAAATTAGTTTTGATTACTTTATACCAAATTTATTTTGAAAGTTAAGGGGCTAGTTAACAAAAAAGCAATAAGACACAAGCAATAAGAGGCTGATTCCTCTGCCCAATTCCCAAGAGATTAAGATAACATCTGCTTAATCAGAGATGCTCTACCAGTTATCTCCTCACACTAAACTCATTAATTTCTCCCTAATTTGACATGCAATTTTCTGTTATCAAAATTCTCCTTGACCAGTCGCTTGATAATTACACCCATGGGGAGAGGTGGAATTTCTCTTATAACATTACATTTGTTATAGATTGCTGCAAAGTATATCATGAAAAAAATAAGTATTTTCTTGATTTAACATTGTTTTAATAAGGATACTGCAATACTCTTACATTTTTTGGGATGGTGTGATTTAAAAGTTAAAAGACGTAGTTTTTAAAAAATTTCACTTAAATTAAAGGTCACAGTGACCTTGAAATAGGTCGCAACACACCTTCTACCTAAGATGCATAAATTGGCCAAGTTTGATGATTCTAAGTCCAATAGTTTTCTAGTTATGAGCCGGACAGGATTTTTCCATATTTGGCCATAGCATCTGAATTAAAGGTCAGAGCGACCTACTTTTAATGCACGACACACCTTCTACCCAAGATGCATCAGCTGACAAAGTTTGATAACTCTAGGCCTAATAGTATTAAAGTTATGAGCCGGACACGAAAAAGCTAACAGACGGACGGACGGACGGACATGAACGCTATAACATAATACGTCCCGTCTTAAGACGGGCGTATAAAAAGAATACTGTAGACGTGGATATTTACAAGTGTTGTTAATTACTGGTAAGCATATTAGTACTAAGCACATTATGAGTGGGGTTATTTCCATTATACTATTTATACAGTATTGCTAAAACAGAATCAAACATGTATAAAGGCATTGGAGATATTTACATAAAATCTTTATTATTGCGCATTTTGCATTAATTACCCCCATGCATAATTTCCACATTCAGATTAATGGTATAGTAATAGTGGCCACTTAGTATGAAAAAATCTTTTTTTGCTACCGAGTAGCTAGTTTTACAAACTAAAAAAGTGCCCATGACAGAGCTAGCTTTTCTGTGCTGCTTTGCGAGAACAAAAAATTAAGTCTTACAATTAAGAACTATATACCAAATCAATGAATACTTGAGAATACCACAGACCAAACAAGGGTTAACATAAACTAGAAAACTGACCAGTTAGCAAGGGCCCCGCCAAGGGGTAGAAATACAGGGGTGCAGCTTACGGAATGAGAATTTTACTTGATTACAAAAATTTTAAAATATATGAAGAAGAATAAGCAACTGTATACATATAAGATTTCAAGATTTCTAAATATCTAAAGACCCGTAAATAGTATCCTTGCATTTACATAAGGCAGTAAAATAAATCATGTCTTTATTCTTATAATAACTCAATTAAATGTAAAATACTGAAGGCTGGCATTTAGTTCAACAAAAATATATTGAAACCACTCCCTTGGCATAAGCTTTCTTTGTGCCTACTATGATTTATAAATTTTTTTCACACAAAATTAGTGACTATAGCTGTCTTTTTTTAACAATCTTGATCAGTAGAAAAACTCAGGAAACTACCTGAAGACAAAACCTATCATCTAACCAAACTAAAACGTCTCTTTTTGGATTCATGTACAGTTTACATAAATAGCCCCCACCCCCATTGACACATTTAATACAAGAAGGCAAAATGAATAGAAATACAGTATACAGGAAATTGAGCCCTCATTTTAGTTTTGCTCCTTTTGCCCTTGTTGCAAGAGGGAGAATTTAAAACAGGGCCAATAAAAGGGGACAGCATCATCTCTTAACCACAACTATGTTTGGGTAAATTTAAGACTAGCAACATTGTTTTCAGGCATAGAAGGGAAAAAATAACCCTTTACACAGTATATTTATAAGTCTCATGCTCATGATAATTACTGGTATGACACATACTAGGCTGAGTGGTGATGTATTGATGAGGGTTAATGAGATAGCCATATTGCATAATGTCCTCTGGGAAGAGGTATACGTTTCCTCTTCTGAACAATGGTCTTGAAGGGGACAGACAAAACAAGGAATGTAATTCTCGACGTTTGCTTTCTGAAAGTAAAACACATTAAAAAGAGTTAATAGATGAGGTAAAAAAAAGTACAAATGGTGTACGGAAAACCTAAATTTACATAAAACTAAAACCAAGATATCCTGTTGTAACTGTTGAGACAACGTGGGTCTGATAAGCCAGTAATCAGAGTCATAACAACTCTTTACTCCATAAATCTCCATCAACCGAACACTGTCCAGTAGGTATATTCTCTAGTCTTTTTTATGAAATGTTATCAAGATTATGAGGAATTAAGAATTTACAAACTCTGCACACAAATGAACAGGATAATAAACAGACAGATTAGGCACTTAGATTTCCGAGGCTCAATAAGGAACAGATAGTGGGCTTTATAACCCAGTAAATCAAGGAAGGAAGTCATGTGACTTCTATTCTTGGATTAAGTGGAGATGAACAGGTACACAGGTAAAGGTGAAAGTCCATGAACTTATACATGTACTGATATTAAATATATACCTAACTTTTCCTCTGACTTCTCTTCAGGGTAGATCACTGTTATAATTGCTGAGGATTTCCAAGGTTGGAAATGAAATGGTTGTACTTTTGGTAGAGTCTCACCCTGTAATAAAATAATTAGCTCCAAAGGATGTTCAATGAAGAAATGCTTGCCCTCTTAATTTTCAAATTTATTAGATAATAGATTTAACCATACAAATTTACACTTGGTTACGTACCTCAATGTTCTTCAAGAGACAGTCTTGCATTGCTCTGAGCTGATTACAAAGTGCTGTTGTCATATATTCTCCTAAGGTCATCACCTGCATATCTGGGGTCACCTGACAGCACACATCGATAGGAAGTGTCAAGGTCACAGCCCTGAATTTCTCTGAATGTAAAATTTCTCAACTGCATTAATTTAATGATTTATATTATGTACCAATGATACACAGCAACTCAAATGAGCATTGAACAGCATTTTACACTTTATCAAAATGTTTATATTATCTATATAAATTTTGAAATGAGAACTTTTTTTTTCTAACAAAGACAGCTTCGATTCCAAGCTGGTTAAATGAGAAAGGAAGCAGAAATATTTTCATAAGTACCTAAGCTGTGTTGAATAATTGGGGCACAAAGAGGTACATCACAAGTCTCCTTAGTAACAGTTACATTCTGCAGCAAATCACAAAGCAAAGTTCCCTGAAAAAAAGTTCCTCTTGTTACAGACACTGAAAATTAGTAAAAGTTAGTATTCAATGCCGAAAAGAGTAACACCTTATGTTGTTCCTGTTTGCTTTGTCTTAACTTAGGAAGCAAAGTAGTACACAAATCTTTTTTATAATGAACAGGATTCAGCACTCAATAAAATGTATCAGGTACTTTAGATCTTATACAGTGATCCTTAGCATTGCAGAGTCAACTAACATGATATATGACTGTCAATTACTGTGTGACTGAGTTTCAAACTCACAGAATCAATAAATCAAAATATTTCCATACAACAGATTTATAATACTCATTAAAAAATTCCTAAAATTGAATAAAACTATATGTATAATTCTCCACTCATAAAAAGAGATTCCTTCATTAAACTTTATAACTTTTAAGAAATGACTAGAAAAAACTGAACGAGACCTTATGTCATGATTTCAATAGAATTTGTAAAATTGCTACTGAAACTGAACCTCTAATTGTGATTTGGAGTGTTTCTGCTTCCCCTGTACAAATTCATCTTGGTCTGCATTGGATAGCTGAAGTAAACTGGAGCACACAGCCTCCATTGGTAACCCTACTACTTGTGTACAGCTAAAAACCACAGCAGTGCCCTGCACTCTATATACGGTGGATGCTGATGATATGGTATTGCACAAATTCTCTATCACAGATAACAACTCATTCTTCAGGGAACCTTTTGAAAGATGAAATATACGCAATCAAAATTCAGAATACCTACCGGTATTTCTATTAAAGAAAATGACATGATGGATGACATGTATGTATATAAAAAAAGGCACAATACAAACCTTTTTGACTATCTATCCTTACTGAGAGTGTAAATGAACATTTCAGTCGGACTTTGACAAAAGGAGGGTCATTTTCTTTAACAATAACTGTAGGTCTCTGTATACTGTTTACATCATATGACAAGAATATATTTTCTTCTGACAAATTGCTGTCATTGTTTAGTTTAACACATATCACTAGTCCATTCTATAAATTTGAAAAGAAGAAAAAAACATGATTTTTAAAAAATAAGACATAAATATGACAAATTGCAGCTAAAATCTCGATATTTTAATACTTCTAATTTTGGTCAATCTAATTAAAATTAGATGTTCCGAATCCGCTACCGTTTCGTCTGAGAAGCGGTAGCGGATTCGGAACATCTAATTTTAATTAGATTGAATTTTGGTCAACCATAATGAACTGTGTAACAGAAAGAGACATTAGATTTCAATATATTTCATGGCATCTACAAGAGGCCTGTAAATATAATTCACATGTTATACATTATCTCCTTTGAAGACAACTCTCCTGCAGCTACTATAATAAACAGACCTTTGGCAAAATTATTAATGCAAAATAATATTACCTGGTGTTTTATAGAATATTTTTTGACTTGACTGGCAATTTTGTCAACTTTTAGAGAAGTATTTTCCAAAAATATTCCACATATCTGCAATCCTGTGAAAAAAAAAAAACATTTAGAGTGGTATATGTGCAAATTTATACATAAAATATTTAGAAGCCTTGGGGGAGGTATTGAAATTGAATACTGTATACAGGGTTATTTTTGCCCCATGTTATTTTCGCCCTTTCACACTTGCAAACAAGTTTGCCCCAATTTAAATTTGCCCAGTTATAGTTTTGTTTAAGAAATAATACTGTATTCCTTTAATTCGCCCCGTTTTAAATTCGCCCAATTGAGGGTCAGGCGAAAATAAAACGGGGGCGAAAATTTCCCTGTATACAGTAATAATTGATTCAAAATTTTCCACTTCCAGGTATCATCTTTAATCACTTTATGACCTATGACAAAATATTTTTATGTTTGCCTTAAGTAAAATTTTACTAAAATTGTCCTTGATAATTTTACAGTATTAGAATTTTTAGATAGATATTAAAGTTCACTCTTTTTTTTTTCATGACCCTATGACATTCACTTGTATAGTCACTTACCACCAGACAGATATTGTGAGACAGATTCCTTCAGGACTGAGAACTGTAAAGGACTGGAATCCTTAAGGTGGCAGCACCCTGTTACATGCCAACCATCCTTTGTTTCTTGACCCAGCAACACACCAAAGTAAGGAACATTCTCTTTACTGTTGACAGATAAAGTCTGAAATAATGTAACTCTTTGTCAGGTATAAGGTTTTATATATAGGTATATAAGCAGGCCTCTCTGTTGTTTAAAGTTACATAACGATTAACGAGTCAAAATCTTATAAGATATCTGTATCATTAAAGCGAAAGATTTATGAAAATTATGAGTACAGAGAAGATATGACAACTAAAATGCACTGTAAAGCAAGAAAAGACTGCACAATATACGGTAAGTGCCGGAAAAACTAACTATCTTTTTTTGAAGATTGTATACAAATTTTTGGTCTACAGACATTTATATTTTAGTATTCAAGACCATGTAAACTTCTTTAACTTTTCTGTGCATGCGTACAAGTTTATTGACTAAGTTCGAGGACAGCATTTGTTTTGTCTGACCCAAGAGCCAAACTGTTTGGCTAAGGCCAATGACAGACCCTTAAACCGAGTCCGTAGGACATTATCATTTTAATGATTAGAACATTCTATCTAACTCCTAAGGTAGCTAATTCACCTTAAAATTTACTTGTGACTCTTTTGTTTGAGCGCTTCGTTAATTTTCAGGAATGGAGAGTTGCAAATTACATTGAAAACAGTATTTGCTATGTTCAAATTCTCCTTTCTGTGCCTCTACCAAAGAAAGAACTTAGAAAATTTCATTAACTAAAGTTTATTTTCATATTAAGAAAAAATCATACAGGTACCGCTGAGAATTGATCCCGGTACTCTCAGCATGATAGCCTGACACTCAGCTCACTACGCTATCGAATCTGTTGACAAACGATGAGTTTAAATTACTTTATAACACTTTACTCACCTTACTCTCTCTCTCTATATATATATTAAATACTACTAATATGTTTAATATATATTTACTGTGTATCTTTTATATATTTTTTTATTATATATTAAATAACAATAATTACAAGCATTTAAAACAGTGGATTTTAAGTGGGGTAATGTACTCGTAGCACTCCATTCCTTAAAATTAATGGGCCTCGGCTCCATTACTTTTAAGGAATGGAGCTCTACTCGTACATTAACCCTAACATATTGACCCCAAACAGCAATGATTGAATAATGTTAATAATTGGAATAAACAACAATTAATTTTGTAACCATCTTTTACTTCTTCTGGACTGGTTGGCTTTTACAACATTCTTTCTACTGCCAGTACTGGCTTCTCACGATGCACACATGTAGATGATCAGTGATGGTTACAAATTGGTCTTCAACTATTTATTACGCAGGGGAATGTCACATCCATCAGTATTCCTACTTAATGACTACTTCTACGCTATAAAGGAGGAGGAATCAAAACACGAAAATCTATTATGTAGGAGCAAAAAGTAGGAAGACGGATAGATCGAAACGAGCCCGTGTTCCATATGGGGGTACCGTTCCATATGGTATATTTGGCAATGCATTTCAGACTGAAACTCATACATATAATTTGTCGTTGTGTTGTGCAATTATTAGATTGGATTTTTAAAAAATCTCCCCTATTGAAATGTTTTTCTGCAAGAAAACCCAAAAAACTTACCTCTATCACAGCGTTGTTGATGTGTACAGATGCCATGTCTGTACTTTCACTTTCCAATCTTTATTACTTGTTAACTTGTACGACAAACAACTCTACAACTTTCGAGTAAGTAAGTCTTGTGATTAGTTTATACATTTACTTGTACTTACATAATTAAACCCTAAGAACACCTGTTCTCCAACTTTCTTTAATTACAGAGTAAATAAATTATATACATTGCACTGATTAGACATACCTTACGGATTTTTATGTTAAAGAAAAATCTTAATTTTTTTTAAACAACTCGTAAAAATGCTAAAAATTTACAAGATCAGGAAACTCAGATGAAACGATATGAACTGTTAACATTAATACTTTTGTGTATCTTGATATTTTCGAAGCTGCACACTGAACAGACAGTTTTAATTAAAAAGTCCCTGTATTCAGTGCTTTAAATTACTCAGACTGAGTATTTCAAGTATTCTTAGCATTTAATTTGGCCCAAGATCAATTGATTTAATATTTTATCTGCAAGTAATTTTCTCGTCTAAATAAGCAGCAGAGTTTTGTTCATCAATACTTCATTGTCCTTGAATAAAAGTGGCCTTAGTTGAAAATAGAATACAGGCAGATAAACTCAATATTTACCGTCAAAATTTGTTGTTTATACCATATCATTTTCTCAATGTCCCCCAAGGCATTTTTCATGAGCGTGCAGAGGTTTGTTTTTTTACTTTGGTATCAGAAAGTGTATCCCCCCTTTTAGAAATTGATCTCCGGTTTTATACATCAAGTTACTAGATTCCTGGGAATCAAGCGTTGACTCGGATTGACAAACTTGTTTATTTTTTATTTATTTATTTTTTTTTTTTTTTGATAAGACATGTTGAATATTCAGGGAGAGTGAATGACCCCACCAATTCATATACATGGTGATTCAACACTAAAAATTCTTTTAATTTTCAATATATATATATTTTGCATTAATACTATGGATGTTGGGATATTGACCCTAAAGTAAGTCACAGTGACCTGCATTTTGCATTTTATCATCATTCATCGCGAAATCTTTATATAGAGGCCTATCATATCTATTGAACTATGAATATTTCATTTAAAGAAATAGAACAAACATTGTGCACAATGAAAAGTTTATACCAAGAGAGAGAGAGAGAGAGAGAGAGAGAGAGAGAGAGCATGACAACACTTTTCATAAAAATGTAAATTAAATTTAAATGAGTTCTTTTCCAGACGCATCAATTCTATTTGTTTTAAAATTGTTATTAAGAATAGCAGAAGTTATTTCAAATAAAATGAGAAACTTCATCTGAATCCTTACATGTCTATTTAAAAGGCGACAAAAAAAAAAATGAAAAAGGGTGAAGATAACGAACAGTGATCGATCTCATAAAAGCTTCAAACAATACAAATCTGTGAACAGGGAATTCTAGAGGTGGGATCAGGTGCTTAGGAGGAGTAAGCATCTCCTGTTGACTGATCACATCCTCCGTGAGCCCCATGTATTGATCAGGTAGACGGAACATTCCGTGGTCAAATTTAGAAAAAAAAACAAACAAACAAATGTGTAACAATTGGTAGGAAACCAGTCAGCTGTGATAGGTTATACTTGCTTACAAGGTCATTATAATGACTACAGAATATAGAGAATGCTGACTTTAAACGAGGTTGTTGAAATCCCTGTAACATCAACTTATGTGTGAGTAGCCTGCCTCGGTTCAAAAACTGGTCGTACTCAGAGCATGCTATCGAGTAGCGAAAAAGTTGGGAGACAGATACAACATCTGCAGGTGATAGCTATTACTACATAAATAAGGAAAGTTGACGATGGTACAGCTGAAGTCATCTCGTTTGTCATACAATTTTGTTGTTAGTTGACCCTCATCGTCTACATCTTACATCGTAAAACATGTAAATATGAGATATGGAAGACTCTTCGGTGTCTTTTCAATTTCACTTATATCGAGTCACATTTAAAAGGAAATAAGTATTGTTAAATGATAAAACATCGTCGTTACATCTGAATATCGGGTTAATTGAATGTTACGGCAATTGTTTTCTTCTTCTCATGTAAAAGTTTTTGAATAAATTCTTATTCATACGAATATAAAAAAAAAAAAACAGATCGGCTAATAAAGGAGCACAATTAGTGCCCCTTGGAATTCCAACAGTTTGTTGGAAGATTTAGTCTCCGAAGACTACATAATTGTGCTCAATGAGGAACTCAAGCATCTTTTTGATATTAACTTCAGAGTACTTGTGTGTAGAATCAGAGTGATTTTTAATAAAGTAATTTTATTGATGATCAATATGAGGCGCCGTTTTGGTATTTACTGCCAAAAAGTGATATCACCTATTCGAATAGGTGATATCACCTATTCAATTGGTGATATCACCTATTCGAATAAGTGATATCACCTATTCAGCTTCTGAATAGGTGATATCACCTATTCGAATAGGTGATATCACCTATTCGAATAAGTGATATCACCTATTCGAATAGGTGATATCACCTATTCGATTTGAATTGGTGATATCACCTATTCGAATAGGTGATATCACTTATTCGAATAGGTGATATCACTTATTCGAATAGGTGATATCACCCATTCAAATAGGTGATATCACTTATTCCTTTTGAATAGGTGATATCACTTATTCGAATAGGTGATATCACCTATTCAAATCAAATAGGTGATATCACCTATTCGAATAGGTGATATCACTTATTCGAATAGGTGATATCACTTAATCATTTTGAATAGGTGATATCACTTATTCGAATAGGTGATATCACCTATTCAAATTATTTATGAAATAACAACTGCTCCCAAGACTTTAATTAGCTTTAATTCTCATTTAACTTTCACTTTCGTTTTATAACTTACCATTCTTGCCCCTTTGAAATTTCCTATAGTATACATAATAGATAAGTGTAATAAATATAATTTGTGAGCAAAACAAACAACAAATTCTACTGGGGTGCTTAAAACTAAATGCGAAGCTGTAATCCATTGTCAGTCTGTAAGTCTCGTTGACTTTCACTTTCGTTTTATAACTCCCGGGTACCTGAGCGTTCTTGGAGACAATGGATTACTTAAGTTGTAAGCATCGCAGTGGAATTATTAAACTTGTAGTTTGTTTTGATCCCCGATTGTTGCAAAGAAGAGGAGAAAGTGGATTGATAGATGCAGGTAAATAGCGTTTAATTGCTTTATTTTTTCATTACATAACGTAAACACAAGCTATTCCGAGGGGGCCAAGATTAGCCAACATACTTAAGCAAAAAGGGATAATTAAATGGTTTTTTGCTAAAATCGTCTGTATTCAAAAGGTACGCTTATCTACAGATTGGTTTCATAAATTTAAAGCATTGACTTAGCTTACAGTTGGTATAATTTGGAGTATATTGGACAGGTACCCAGCTAGCACAAAAACATTTTAAAAATGTTTTTAAAACATTTTCAAAATGTTACGAAAACATTTTCAAAAATGTTTTAATCACGTGATTTTGTATGGTTTTTTAAACATTTTTAAAACATTTTAGCATAATGTTTCAGCAAATGTTATCAGAACATTTTATTAAAATGTTACGAAAACATTTTCAAAAATGTTTTAATCACGTGATTTTGTATGGTTTTTTAAACGTTTTTAAAACATTTTAGCATAATGTTTTTGCAAATGTTATCAGAACATTTTATTAGAATGTTATGAAAACATTTTCAAAAATGTTTTAATCACGTGATTTTGTATGGTTTTTTAAACGTTTTTTAAACATTTTAGCATAATGTTTTTGCAAATGTTATCAGAACATTTTATTAAAATGTTACTTAAATATTTCTGAAAATGTTTTAGTCACGTGATTTTGTGTAGTTTTTAAAACGTTTTTAAAACATTTTACCCTAATGTCGCAATGACACCTCTTTCCTAAAATGTCACTTAACGTTTTCATTAAATGATATCAACATCATTTGTATTATTTTTCAAAGCGCTTTTCATACATTCCAGCTTAATTATAACTCTCAAAGAATTAATCACATCTGAATGAATTCACTTTTTACAAATTTTAATACAAATCCTTATTTAATATGAAACACATATTTTAGTTCTATTTCCAGTACAAGTTTTGAGTTATTCTGTTTTAATCCAACAGATATTTTTAAAGGAAAAAATCCATTCTCTGAATTTAAAAACAACAGAATCACATAAATCCTTCCAACTAGAAAGAATAAACAGGCCTAGATCACTGTTATCATGTACGATCCCACAAAAAGCGTGTATCTACATGTACACGTGTAGGTTCCACAGAGCGGCGGATCAGCTAGCTATTATGTAAATGGAATCGCACACATTGATAAAGTTCACAAGAAGTCTGTCCTCGAAAAGAATTAAACAAAAAGCTCTTTTCTGTAAAGCAGAACCTGTAAACATAGAGGCAACAGTGTTAAAGTCATCCGTCTACATCAGATCTTTAAATAATGAAAATTTACACGAACATTTTTTTAAATAATAAAGTCACATAAAATTTTCCATTTGCATTAATGAAACAAGAGGCCCAAGGGCCTTAACGGTCACCTGAGTATGATACAACAATTTCAAGGATGCATAGAGTATAAAATGAATTGAAAGGTGAAGCTTTGTTGCCCAAAAGCAAGAAAAATAGGGTGATCATGATCAACAAAATAATTGGTCTTAATATTCATTAACAGTTCATAAATTAGGTTCTAATCTGTTCCCCATTTATCACTATCACCATACAGTATGTTGATAAATTATCAATGCTTCTGTACTATTTTAATCCTTTGTTGAAATCTCTTACATTGGCATCTCTTGGTCTTTGATGAATATTTAACAAGACAAGTTATTTTTGTCTCATTTTTATTTATCTACTACTTACAAGTCTATCTGATCATTAAAACTATGGAAGTACTTTTTGTATTATACAATAAAAGTTTTTGCATAATTCTCTTGTTCTATTTACCTTTCAAGTACATTATTTACAGTGATAAATTATCAAAAGTAAATGGCAAAGGGGAATAACTCCTCTCAGT